ACAATTCGAATCTTTCCGGGGATTTGGAAAACGAAAAAAACTGCCATTTTTTGTCTCAATTAGGAACGCTACAGTTCTTTGCAGTTTTACGTTCCCGGTTGAAAAAAGCCATTGCAGTTAAATATGAATAATTTAAATAAAATGTACTTGATAAAATAAGTACAAATACACCAGTAATTATTGAGGAAATTGTCAAAATCCCACACACCGAAGAATCACAAAACACAACGAAATAAAAATATTGACATATTTAAAAAACAAATGAACATTTGTTAATTTTTTAATGACTAGCAGCGCCTCTAGTGTTTGTTCGCACAGTATAGCTTTTACTTCCAGCCTTGTTTATATATTCTTATGCCGGTTCCACATTCTCGCTGTTGCTCGGCGAGAAAGCCCGAGAACGAGTGTGTAGATGGGACCGCTCGCTATACCTCGCTTTATCTTTCCCGACATCGCCGGTGCTCCGTCGAAAGTCGGTTTTTTGGGCCCGAGTCAAAGGTCCTCGCGGGAATAGCGAGGATGAGCGAGCACAATAGTGTACGTTCTCGGGTTCTCGCATTAATACGCATATTACCGCGAGATTTCGGTGGGTTCAGAGGTTGTGTTGTGTTGTGATATAAACAAAATGGATTGGAATAATGAAAAAGAATTAAATTACAGCAACAGTAGCAGCAACTTCTGCGTCGGCCATCTTCTCGCGTTTTCGCACGGATGATGAATTTCCCGGGAGTTCACAACTGCAACTAAAGCATTCGCTAATTTAGCGAGAATGTGTATGGTCGTACCCGAGCACGAATTTCTCGGCCGAGAAGCTCGGCGAGACACAGCGAGCGTATTCGGACGAGAATGTGGAACTGGTATTAAAGTTGCTAAACCGCCTAGACAAAATGTGCTGCCAGCTGGAGGAAAAATCGTGAACCTTTCGGGGCGGAGTCAAAAATATCGATTATTTTCGTTATTTTCCTCAGAGTAATGTAATAATATGAATAATATAGCCCTGGGTTTCTGCGAAATTTAATAGTGATCAGCTGATTAAGAAATTTAAACGAAACTTATTTTATTGTAGATTGTGGATTATTTTTGCCTGTTATTTTAAGAATTCTAAACCGTATTAACAAAGAAATTATTAATTTGATATGTTGGTACATTATTTATAATTTATGATAATGCTAATTACTGTTTATTATTTAACTGTAATTAATTATTACTGTTAATTGTTGATATTTAAAAAAAGTTACATATACCTATTTAATTTCATTTAATGCAGATTTATAAAAGAATCATTTCATTCTTAGATTATTTTATTCTAAATTGAGTGTTTTACGAATTTTACGATATTTTTTTGAAAACATAAAACTTTTTACATTTTTGATTAAATGTTCAAAAAATTGCAACTTGCTTCAATAATATTATTTGACATTAAAATAAACATATTGTACTTAATACACCATCTAAATCTTTATTATACCAATTAAATCTGTCTGTATTAATGTAAAATATGGCCAGAATTTTAAAATCAAGTTTGCTTTAACTTTATATGTATGAAGAATTATAGAAACTAAAAACATCATTATTTTAACTCACACACAAAGCCCGTTAAACCATAAAACTTTCTAAAAGCAGCATACATGTCTAACTGAAATAATTCAAGTACATTTTCATTAAAAAAAAGTATCAGGAAAATAATTTAATTAGATAATGCAAGATTTATTTTTTGTTCTGTTTCATATACAGACCGGACCACCGTAGTAGTAACATAGGGAGAACCGGACGAATTAGCGTATACCCGTCCGCCGGATAAAAAGCAGGCGAAAAAATGCGATAAAATAAAAATAGGTAGATATGTGATAAGAATGTTGCAGAATTTGTATTTATTCGTGTTTTAATAGCCAAAACGAATACATAGATTCTCACTACAGCTCTCGTGTAAAATTTATTTTTTAAGTAAAATAATGGATGTTTACGAAGTTCGTGAGAAAATTCAAATTGTAAATTGTAAAATGGTATTTCCAAAATAGGTCTTATCGGGATATACAAACAATTTTTCCACAAACTTTTGTAAACAGGCCAATTCCATCTTTACCTACTATATCAAGAGTTATTAATAATTTTGAAACACATGGGTGGCGTGTCCGCACAAAAACACAAAATGCCTGATGTGTTGATTAATGAAGAACAGGAGTTAAAGCAAGTATTTGGGGTGGTTTTGTAGGGTAGCATATGATTGGTCCATTTTTTATAAAGGGTAATTTAACTGTTGCAAAGTATTTGGGCTTGTTACAGCAGCAGATTGTCGCTAGAATTCGTGAGTTATTGGGAGAAAGATTCCACAATATCTGGTTTCAACAAGATGGTTGCCCTGTCCACAATACCCGTATTGTTCAAGAATATTTGAACAATACTTTTCCCAACCATTTAATTAGTGAACATGGAACTATTTTGTGGCCCGCTAGATCACCCGATCTTTTTCCCAATTATTTCTTTTTGTAGGGTTATGTAAAATCCAAAGTGTATGGTCATAATAGGGCTAATAATCGGGATGAACTTCAAGTAAAAATATGAGAGGCTTTCCAAACTATTAGCCCTAATATGTTAGCCAATGTCAGACGGGGATTTTACGACCGCCTAGGCTTCTGTTTAGCACAAGAAGGTGGTCTTTTTGAACACTCAACGTTATAACTTTTTTTTTATTTAGAGTAATATTTTAGTTTTTTTCGGGTTTAGAGAATTTACTTGTTTTTAATTTTGGCTTGTAAACACACTCAAATAATAAATATTTAAGTATTTTTATTTTAAATGTTACCTGAAGTGAAAGTAAACACTTAAAATGAAAATAATAAATACTCGGCACTCCTCGCGTAGTATTCCTAGTGTCACGACCGACCCGCCCAAGCACAACTGCAACTGCGTACTGCCTGACCATCTGACTAGCCGGCAGTGAATCTCTAGTACGAACGCAAATCGGGTAAACGTAAATTCGTCCGGCAACTTGCTATGTTACTAGTAGCCTGGTCTTCTCTGTATATGGTCTTCGGTATTTTCAATATACAGGGTGAGTTTTCTTCGATGTTCTCTATGGGTATCTAGAAAACTACTGGAGATAGAGAGCCGGTTAAATGGGGAAAGAATTGCAGTTTTGTGAGGTCATAAATATGCGCCTCATGGCTTACTAGATATTTCGAAAGAAAAACTTTGCCTATTTTGAGAATTGTCCCTAATTCCATTATAATCAATTTTAGATAAAAGTTTTCAAGTAAAACTTGTAGATAATCACACCCTTAATGAGATTGCGTCCGTCCCGAGGTCCTTCCTTTTTTTCTAAAGCCTGTCATTTTTGACGTATGACACAAACATATGTTTTTTTTTAAATGGAAACAATAGTTTGCCATGACATCATTAAAATCGCCATCTCTTGATTATATCGTTGAAAAGTTTAAAAATGGCTATTTTTATGAAGTCATGGCCAACTATGGTTTCCATTAAAAAAAACATGTTTGTGTCATATGTCAAAAATGACAAGCTTTACAAAAAATCAGAAAACATTAACTCATTAGGTATGTGATTATCTACAACTTTTATCTGTAAACTTTTTGTCTAAAATAGATTATAATGGAATTAGGGACAAGTTTTAAAATAGCCAAAAAAATTTTTTTTTCGAAATATTTAAGAAGCCATAAACTTTTTCAAAAATCCGAAAGGCGCATATTTATGACCCCACAAAACTGCAATTCTCTCCCCATTTAACCGACTCTCTATTTCCAGTAGTTTCTGAGATATCCATAGAGAACATCGTAGGAAACTCACCCTGTATAGTATTTTGAAACTAACTATTTTTATTATTTGACTAGTTTAATTTGATTAATAAGACTAGATTAATATAATTTAAAATAAATTTGATCAGATTTTTTTTTGTATATTCTACTACCAGAAAACCATTATATGATAACCCACTTTTCAATGAAATTGAAGGAAGATATAGTGTATCTATCACAATACTTAATAGAACTACTACAATTGGAAGAAATACAAAAAGAAGAAATACCCAAATACCTTCGTGCCTTCACCTACTACTCAACTACAAAATAAACGAATATAATCTCTTAAAAACACTACACAACTACTAGTATTCTACACTGAACAAATTATTAAACTTAATAAAATAATTTATCAAACGAAAAGAAAAAATAACCAAATTATTCCTTCACCTACTACTTAAGTACAAAATAAACTATAAAACACTACTAAACTATTTTTGGTATTCTACACTAGCATGCTACACTAAACACTATAATTAAAATTAATAAATTAATCTAATTTTACACTGCAACTACAAAGAAATAAGAACATTTTTTAAAACTAGAAGAAACAGAACTTCCATACGTGCAACCAGGATAATAGGTCAAGGGGACAAAGAATATAAAATACTTTAATAGGTGCATTCAGAAAGAAAAAATACCTGGAAAATTATCTAAACAAACCTTTTTTATTTCTTATCAGTGAGAAACATCGGCTTCGTCGGCCTTGAAGAATTTGTCGGGTATTTACAATGGTCGAATTTTATAATTACCAGCTGTTGTAACATATCTAATAAATAAAAAGTATCTGGTCGATTAGTAACCAATTGGCACAGTCCAAAAATTATCGATTTTTATTTTCTCTCTTTTTATTGGTCGCTTCAAAATTCAGAGTAACAAAAAATATTTTTCTGTAGTAAAAGACTCTGAAATACGCCCCGCCATCTGGTGCGTTACATCCACAAACGTCTTAGGTTGAGCTACTTTAAAAATTCATATACAAGGCTTCCAGTCATTGCCATTACACAAAATGTTCTAAAGGGGGATGTCTTGTCATCTGTCATTAGACAAAATTTACAAAAATAAATTTATAATTTACTTTTCGACAAACTCCGGATTTTATCTGGATCATATTTATTGAATAATTTTGTTTTTCGAATGTCAAATACATGACTTGTAATACCTAATTAAAAATTATTTTATTAGCGCAAAGATGGAATTGGAATCGCATAAAAAGGTCCATAGATGTTCGACATGTAGCTACCAAACAGGGCATCTATCACACCTTAGAAAGCATGAGACAGTTCACTTGGCACCGGAAGAAAGACAGTTGCTTTCTTGTGCGCACTGTAACCTCAAATATAGGACAAAAACAGGTTTACAATACCATCTTGCTAAAAATCATCTTGATTCCAGGTAATTTTTTTTTGTTTAATAATTACATATTGTCGATACCAAATAAACTTTTAGTTAAATTCATTGTTGCCAGCCATGGACATATTCGGCCCCGGGCTGATTTTCATGCGTCCGTTATCCGTTGATACGATGGTCCGACGGCGCTCTGATTAGTCTTAGCGTTTTCGCGCCACTTTTCATCCGTAATTTTTTTACTCAAGCCCGACAGCGGAGAAATATCTTACGATAACGGAAGTTTTGACATTTTTTTAACAAATTTAATCTAACCTTAATAAAAATATAATATAATAGTACAAGAGCTAGCACCGTCGAGAAAACGAGAATTTTAAGAAAGCTGGTTCTTCTTCTTATACTAAGTGCTGGCAAAGGTAAGTCTTGGGTCGAGATTTCCATATGTAAGAAGAGCACAATGCGTTTATAATGTACTGAACAAAGAGAGAACAGTAAACACGTTGCCAAACGTTCGAACTAAACCGAGAAACTGCGCATATTGCTAAGAGACGTGGGAGGGGATACAGCAGATTTGTCGCAGTCCACCGGTCGACCCAATCAGTACCTCTGTCAGTACATAAAGTTCTAGGGAAAGGCGTTCAGCTTAACGATTTAATTACCTCTCACGACACTTTATTTGTTTATTTATTAACGAGTCGTTGTAATTTTCCCTATAGCTTGAAACCTTTAAGTGCAAGTTAGAAACACTTGCATTTTTGGTAAAAATAACTGGAATTGAGTTGGTGTTCGAGAGTGGTCGCGCTATTAGAACTCTGAATTCAAAATGAATCGATATCTCAAAATCTATTAAAAATAATTGATTGTAGTTTTTTCAAAAACTTTCTTAACACTTCTGCTATATTTTTTCGCAGACAGGATGTGAAAATCTTTATAAATAAAAAAGTTACACGATTGCTGAAAATTGCTATGCACTAAAAATAAACGGATGTGTTGTTAATTTTTGAATGAAAAAAAACAACCTTATCGAATTTTTCTTATTTAATCATATTGTAAAAAATCCGATTTTCAAAATAAAAAAAGTTTCAATATCTAAAGTGGTTCTTAAGTTTACGGCGTGTTATGTCTTAAAAAGTTGAGTTTTTAAATTATCGCGTTATATCGTTATAAAAAAATGGGTACCCTAATGATATCCTTATAATTCCATTTCAGATGCGCAGAAACATATCTATAGTAAACGCCACGAATGTTTGGGAGTGATTCATCGGTCGCTACCATGTGAACTAATCTGTTCAAGGTCACATAAAACTTAATTCCAGTGCCGTGGTGTTTCAAGTCATATAATAATCAATATATAATCTGTTGTAATTTGTTGTTTTAACTGTCAAAGTCTTGTCAAAACATATATTTGGTTATAAATATAAAATGGAATGCCCCATTGGTCGCACTGCAAGCACACCAATGGACTGACGCACGCAATGGAAACGCGATATAGTATCGTCTTTGTCAATCGCGCTAACATTTTAGAATAAGCAGAAGGAGCGCAGGCAGATGATTAGACCGGGCCTTTAAAAACCTACGTCTACGGTAAAAATTTACGTTTTTAATGTAAAAATGATAGCGCGCGTGTTGATTCTAACTTCATCAAGCGATGAATCACTCCCAAACATTCGTGGCGTTTACTATAATGATTTTATCTAGTTATCTTTTCGTCTCAAAGTTAAAAATCGTTTAAAAATAATATAAGCGGTTTGCGATCGTGATTTTACTTTACCTGATAGGGAAAGGCGTACCGGCTACGCCGTAACAGCACACCGTCACATTTCTGTCACTCCGACTTATTAAGATCCCTATGCGATTTACTTCCACACATGTAAGTACCGACCCAAAAGTAACGGTTGCCAGCACGGTATATCTTTTCCTAATATATCTTTTCCTATGCTCTCCTGGCCAAAGTGCGGGCCGTCTGACTGATTCCGGTAGACTTCTGCGGTTCACTACTGCGCATCACATCTGTACAGGTTATCGCATTTTCGTGTGTTTTATGGGATTTCTCATTTATGAGTAGAGATACAATGATGCGATTTTCACATTACTTTGCTACTTTTTTATGAAACTAAATATGCTACACATAGGTTTGTCCTAGCCTCCTTAGTTCCAGAAACACAGGGCGAATTTGTGATGTGCAGTAGTGAACAGTTATTGAATACAGATATGATGCGCAGTAGTAAACGCAACGTCTACCGGCAGCCAGACAGTCCGCACTCTGTTCAGGAGAGCATAGCAAAAAATATATTAAAGAACCAGCTTTCTTAAAATTCTCTCTCGAAAACGTTGCTACGTCTTAAACTTGATTTTCATGCATCCGTTATCCGACGATACGTGATGATACGATATTAATTTTATTGGTTGAATTTAAAGTCTTCGATTGGTTAGAAACGGTTAACCAATCGAATCCTTTAAATTCAACCAATAAAATTAATATCGTATCATCGTATCGTCGGACAACGGATGCATGAAAATCAAGCTTTAGACTATAAGTAAAACAGCGAAATCGTTATGGAAATGAAAATATTAAATTACACCAATCACAAGCAAATCGTATATCCGATAAACAGAGGTATGAAAATGCAATAAATATAAAGCTGCGTAATTTTCTAATCAATCGAAGTCTTTAAATTCAACCAATAAAATGAATACCGTATCAACATATCGTCGGACAACGGATGCATGAAAATCAAGCTTTAGACTATAAGTAAAACAGCGAAATCGTTATGGAAATGAAAATATTAAATTACACCAATCACAAGCAAATCGTATATCCGATAAACGGAGGTACGAAAATGCAATAAATATAAAGCTGCGTAATTTTCTAACCAATCAAAGTCTTTAAATTCAACCAATAAAATGAATACCGTATCAACATATCGTCGGACAACGGATGCATAAAAATCAAGCTTAACTGGAATATAAATTTTCCGCTGGCGATTTCGGTGGTAGCTCTGCTGTAAAAAGTGCCAAGTTACATTTATTTACTGCTATTTTAATTAGTTTTCACAGTTTACCTTTGTATTACGGGTTTTTGGTTTAAGTGAATGGTGTCGTGATATTTTAAGCTTAAGATTTTGTACTAGCAGACCTTGCAATCGAAAATTATTGTTCTCTTTAGAATAGCTTGTAGAAAATTGTGCGTACAAGATGCCGCAGCAGCTTAACGGCCGTTGCAAAAAAAAACTCATCGCAGAATATTTCGATCGGGAACCTGGTAATAATGACTCTCTATGTCCCTTAAGTGCTGTTAGGGAGGTGAGTTTCGTTAATGTAATTAATAACTGTTTATATGTTTATAATTAATTCATTTTTGTTTCTTAAAATATTTTGATTTAAAGAAAATATGTAAAAGTCGGCAATGCTTTGCCAGTTAAGCTTAATCATATGACTAAAAGTTTATTTGGTATTATCTATAGATCATATTATACACTTCTTGGACATAAACTTGGACACAAACCCCAAACAATGACAGAAAATACAATTTACCTGTGAATTAAAATGACAGACAACTCTGTCCGATATTCTATCGATTTATCGTTAGACAAAAATTATATAAATTTATAATTTATTTTTCGCCAAAATCTGCGTTTTGTCCGGATTTCAGAACTCACTCCTCCAGAGTTTTCAAAACCTGGTACGGAAACCCTACTTAAAATCCATATTTATTGAATAATTTTATTTTTTGAAAGTGATGACAGATGTTTTGTAATACTTAAAAATTATTTTATTAGCGCGAAGATTGAACCGCAGAAAAAAGAAAACGGCAGAAAAATGAACAAATCGCAGAAAAAGGTCCATAAATGTTCCACATGTAGCTACCAAACAGGACATCTGTCACATTTTAGAAAACATAAGGAAGTTCACGCGGCAACAAAAAAACGACAATTTTTTGCTTGTGCGCACTGCGACAAGAAATATTGGTCAAAAGTCAGCTTACAACGCCACCTTCAGAATAATCATATTATTTCCAGGTAAATATATTGTTTGCATAAGAATTATACCTAATTCATATATGTTTACTTCTTGTAATTACCCTAATCCTGGTATATACAAGATATATCCAATCTATAACAAATATATATCCAATCTTCGTTGTAAAATATGTGGTCAATAGGAGTAAACATTATTTCAAAAATATTTACAAATAGCGGGTGATTTAAACATATTTTAACAATTAAGTTGAATTTATTTCTTTCCCCTGCTATTTCAAATGAAACACCCTGTATTTTATTTCATAAATCGACACATATGTTATCCAACTTTATATTTCGAGCTTGGCTATACAAGGGTTGAACACATTCTATACCGAAAATCCGTACTTATTGAAAAATGTGCTTTTTTAAATTTGTTGCCCTCAAAACGAATCACTTTTGTATAAAGATGAATTTTGTTCAATTAACTAATTTTTATTCTAAAAATACATAGTAGTTCTATGTCCACGGACTATTGGGACACTCTGTATAATACAGGGTGTTTTGATTTTGATGATATGGGGCTTTTCCAGAACACACTGTATTGTCACAGATTATAGAGATTATAAACTTTGTTTTTTCTTTATTGTTTTTCGTGGCTCCAATTTTCGGAATCGGGCACTAGTTAGGTTACTAGTTTGCGCACACAGCACGCCCACTTATACGCCAGGGCAATTAGCAAAAATAGGGGAAGTTTTTGCAATCAAGCTGATTTTTTCACAGATGATAGTACTCATTAACAGTACTCTGTAAAAAAAAGTTACACCCTCTAGAGCGCTTGCTTCCTCCGCCATGTTGAATTAAAGATGGCGTCTGATCCTATTCTTTAAAAAATCGTAATTTTCTTATTTATTAACCGATTTTTGTCAAGTAAAAGTCATTACCTTTGTTTTGGGTTAAAGAATGAAATAAAAATACAAAACTATTTTGACAGGTTGTTTTTCTGTCAAAAATGAAAGAAGAAAAAAAGGAAAAATAATAAAAGAAATCGACTTGCTTTTCTTCAATTTTGTTTGAACCGTACTCCGTAGTAAAAAAGGTTAAAGAATATGCGCTCTTTTGTTCTGATTTTGAAACAGTCCTTGAGTTTATGATAGGTTGAGTAGTGCGGGAGATATAGTGTATAGTATATCCTTAAGGACACCAACAAAAATAAAACTTATGCAGGATGTAAAAATACTTTATTTTTTGCTCGATAGCCATAAATAAAAACAGTTGCCTTTGGTTTCAGGTTAAACATATGAATAAAAAAAAACATTAAAAATAAATTAAAAAAAGAAAAAATTGTTTTTCTTAATAATAGATAAAAATAAACACTGAAATTCTTTTTATTCCAAAAGAAAAGTATAAAATCAACTTTTAATAGCTTTTAACTACAAATACATAATAATAACTTTTTCACATTTGTATTTACATGTCACTATCATCTATTTCCAGTTTTTCATAATCGACTCTGGGTGCATTTAGACAGGCTTGATTGCATTTTTTACACAAAATTTTGCATTTCCGATTATAAGAAGCACAAACACAGTTTGCTGTGCAAAGATCTTTGCATTTGCAAAAAAAAGTTGCCATTATAGGTGTTCGGGCCCTGGAGGTTTTGTGTAAGTCACTGGGAAAAGCTCATTGCCACTGGCAAACCGCCCCCACTCAAGTGGATCTAACTCGTTTCCTCTCCTTGTACCTACCTGTAAATATACTCTTAAAACGTGTTGATTACTGGAGTCTTCTGTGGGAGGAAGATTTGCCAAATCAAAATTAGATCCCAAACCTTGTGTTCTCAAAGTTCAATTTTGGCCTCAAATTTTTTTGGAAATTTTCCTTTTTTGCCATTTTTTAAAATATCTCCCATATCCTTCATTTGTCTGTAATTAGTTATACATTGTTGGATAGAGCATAGGTGGTGCTCATTAACGCACTTTTTTTAGTTCTTAATATTGTACAGAGTGTTGTAGAAATTGATCGAAAGTCAAAAATTTGCAAAATCTAAAAATCCTAAAAATCTCGAAAATGATAAAATATAAAATGATGGTTGACCCCTGTGTGGATAGAGCTTGTGGAGCCCTACAATTGTCCCATTTAAACTGTGAATGAAACCATCTAAAACGAATAGTTTTTGAGATGTTTCGAATAAAATTTTCCATTGTCGATTTCCTTTTTCAATTTTTTGTACTTTTTTCACCTGAAACGTGTAAAGTGCGTTAAAATATGAATATTAATAGCATTTTTATCTTTTTTTGCATTATCATGTATTTTAAAAAAATCCCGAAAATTAAAAAATCGGTTTTTATTTTTTTTTCTCGCTCTGTATACGACTTTTTGACAAACTTTGTTATAAAAATAGTTTCTCTTCCTCCTTAATATGGAGTTTGTTTGAGGTAAATCGGTTAAAAAATAAGAAAGTTACAGTATTTAAAAAAATATTGTGTCGGCCATCTTTAATTCAACATGGCGGAAAAAGCAAGCCTCCTAGAAGGTGTAACTTTTTTTTACAGAGTACTATTGATGGGTACTATCATCTGTGAAAAAATTAGCTTGATTGCAAAAACTTCTCCTAAAGGCCATTATTTCACCTAACTGCCCTGGCCTATTATGGCCTCTAAAATTGTGCACAGCGCCTGACCGGCACAGTTATAAGAGAGGTGTCGGAAAACCGAATAGCGTCATGCAGTATTTACGCGTACCTTATCATGGTTACGATATGCGCGAGTCAATTTTTAACGCAACACCCGCTAATAACGTTACCGCCTGACGTAATTTGCGTATTAATTACACCAAGCGCTATTTCTAAATAACGTTTAAAAATTGCTTGAATGGGCATGTGCGGGTATTTGACAACCGGGGCCGGCCGGCGAGATCTTTTATTTTAGGTTATGTTTGAATTGTTTTGAATTATTACTTTAGTTTTATTAGGTAATTTGATATTTAAGTAGCTGGGATTAATAAATATGGCACAAAATATGGATTCCACCTCTTCCAATATTAAAGAACCTATAAAGAGGCTTAAGTTTACAGCAGATGACAACTTAGCCCTTCTAAGAGAATTTGTTGCTTGTTGCCCTAAACCCACTGGCAGACGTTGAACAATAAAGCACTGGAAATAAGCACTTTAGCCCTTTAGTTTTAAAATACCTAGTAAACAAAACAATTCCAAAGTTTTAAATTCAAAGTTAGGTTAAGTTTAAATAGCGGACGCGACGCGAACAGAATTCTTTCCGATTCGATAACTATAAATGAAGAGAGTTAATACCACCTCACGTAAAGGAAATAATACCTGGCCTTATTAACGTCCATGCACGCTATTCGGTTTAGCGATATCTCTCTATTACGCTGTTGTTATTTTACGCGAATTTATTTTTGCGCACAGGAAATTTTACTCGTTTGCACATCGTCATAAAAAATAATTTTAGTACCACGAATTAGGGACAAGATTTTTATCTGTATACTTATAGGATACCTAATCTGTGGTATTGTTAAGTAATTATTTTATTAGAGACTGAAGGAAGCACAGAGGAAGGTATAGAGTTGTACCATATGTGGGTTGTAGACTCTGACACGACATGACGCATTTTGTGACATAAGGCACCAAAAATGTTTGCTTATATACAGGGTGGTCCGAATTGTATTTAGGAAACTCCGATAGCATATTCTGCAGATAAAGATAATTAAAACAGTTTTTATAAATATATTATGTCCTAAAATGCATCGTTTCGAATATACAGGGTGTAGAACTTTCATTATTTCAGATTTTTCCAAATAATTTCTGAACTAACGTCGATATTTCGATCAAAATTGGTCTTTGGGTGTTTTTTGACCTGAGAAATTTGATTTCGATGTCAATATGTCTCCTACTTGCAGATGGCGCCACCTACATATTTTTTACTGATTTAAAGAGTAACAATACCTTTTCGACCGTACCTGTATAAAACCCACTACTGAGTGAAAAATTATACATTTCCGTATTTTTTATGTAAAATATATTGTGTAAAAATCGTTACAAGCAACCGCTTTGAAAACATTTGGTTGTGATTATGTCATTATTGGCAAGAAATAAACATGTTGACTGGATTGATATGATGACATGTCAATAGATTGATGATGATATTTGACTGAAATTATAAATTTGGGAACTTTTTATTTATTAAAACTAATCATGAATTTTGATTCCAAATATCTTGAGAACCATTACTCTTAGCGACTTTTACCAGGAAACCCTTTTTACGTAAAAAATGACAGAAAAATATACATATCCGTCATTTTTGTTCCAAATATTAATATGTTTTTATTCTCTTCGCAGATCTGAGAAAACTACCATTTTGAAAAATTTAAAAGTAAAAGAAAGGTAAGAAATTATTATGTGGCATATAAAAAAACGGCGTCAGAGTTGGCTTAGAAATGAAGATCGCTGTAATTTTATATGTAAAATTATATGGAGGTCTTATCGATCGCTACTTCCAGGCCAACTTAACGCCGTTTTTGCCAATCACACGGTGTATAGCGGTTTTAATTTTTTTTACTATTTCCAGAAATGCTGATTGTATGTCGCTAACTCATGAAGTGATATTAGATTCTTTAAAAATAGAAATTGATGAACAAGTTACGCATTTGGATCGCTCTAAGTATGTTTTTAACCCTATTTTTACTAATATAATGATAATGACGCAATTTATTAATTCCAGCAATACTGAAAGCCTATCTGTGGCTAATGAAGTAAAATCAGAAGCTTGTTTAGAAACAGAAATTGATGACGACGCTCCGATTTTGAATAAAGACGTGCAGGATGACTTTAGGTATGTTTATTTAATTGTAATGTTACTATGGTAATCGCAAAACAATTTCCGATGCACGTGATCAATTTTGAGTGACAAGCGATGGCGATAGCGCTGCCAGATTGTGATGGATTTATGAGATGAATCTTAATTTAAAATTGACAAACAACATATTTATTATATCATGTTATAAAGAGTGATTTATTTGTTTTATAGCTTATTTTACATATACATATTGGCAAAAACTAGTCCATTATGAAGATTATTATGGGTTATTTATTTATTGATGTACCATTGCGATAAAAAAAAGTAGTACAACAAAATATGATTTAATCTGCTGGTCTATAATAAAACAAAAAAAAACTTGAAAAATTGCCCATTTTTAAAAGGTAAGTAAACTTTTATTTTGCCATGTATACCTACCAATTATTACCAAACTCATGGTAACGCCTAAAAAGTTAGGCTATATCCACTTCTCGATATCCTTATAGACTATGAGTTCCCCCCCTATCTGGGACTACTAATTCTTGTACTACTTTTTTCTGATCGCAATGGTACATCTTACAACGCCATAAGTGGTAATAACAAGGTAATAACAAGTAAGAGGGTGCTATTAATGCATAAATTACTAATCACAGAATTTAATAAAAAATCTTTGAAAGTTACTCAAGTAAAAACGATATGAAAATGTGTCAAAATATTTTTTGGAGGGATAACTACACGATATCTATACAGGATTATTAGATAGGACTTTATGCATGTGAAATGACTAATTACGACGTTTTGGGGGGGGGGGGGTCAGAAATTTTTCCATGTTACCTTCCCTACGCGATAACTCCTAAACTAATCAACTTATTCACATACTCTTTTTTTAATCGATTGGGAACACATAGGCGGTGGTAGCTGAAGCAATTAAAGTTCCCTAGTGAGTGTATCTTTGTTTAGAAAATAGATTAAACTTCAAACATTAACTTTATTGTATCATGATTTTCGGTCAGCGAGAGACTTTTTTATTTGAAGGAATTTTTACATAGTATCTGCGTATGAAATAAAGTAAAAATATTAAAAAAGTTTTTAAAACTTTGTACAATCTTCTTTTGCTAATACTTTTCTAGTTATCCTAAATTAAATTTACAAATAGGCCGCGCGCGATACTGGGCCTTTATTATTTGGGCCACGGCCTATTCTAAGTTCCGTAAGCCTATTTCTGATTATATGCATTGTACCTGACGTTTGAAATTTAGTAAATTCTGTACGTTATAAATTATTTAGTTATGGCCTGTTTAATTTGCAGAAAAACTATAAACGAAAACGATAAGTTTTTTTATTAAAAATCCTACTATACGAGACCTAAAAACTATGCTGCGGAAAAAAGGCAAGATGATGTTGCTGTGAATATTAAGCCAAAAAGATGATTAATATATTATTTAATATATTATATTAACAAAAAGAAAACTAGTTAAATATGAGGTTTTGATATTATAATAATGTGTTTGATATGTGATAAAATAGGAAAAAAGGGTAAACATCACAAATTAACATCTAGACCAACAGGTATCTTATGTTGTAAACTATTTTCATAAGTTTTTTTAATTAATTAATTGATATGAAAAATTAATAAAATTGATATGTTTGCTAAAAATCCATAGTCAGTATTTCTTTTGCTAATAGGGCTGAATAGTTTCTCATAAACCAGAATAATATTAATTGTTTTTAGTTACCGTAAATCTTTAATTGCGTGAGACAAAAAAATGTAGATCAAAAAAATGATGAATTATTTTATAAAAAATTAAATATGTATTTAAAGTTTATAACCGTTTATGACCATCAAAAATCGTACATTTCTACTATTATTTATTAAAGTTTATTTTTATTAAGGCCGACAGACGACTTTTGTTGTTTCTGAAAAAAATGTGCTGTTTTCTTGTTTGTTTTTTTTTAAATAATTATAGTTTTTGTGTTATAAATAGCATTTATAGCATATTTCACATGTACTTTAATTTCTAATTCTATGTTAAAATGACTTTTAGTAAATTTTTATGCATTTTAATTGAAAGTATATTTATTTTTAGTAAATATTTATTTAATATTAAATGCAATATACATACATATGTATATCTTTTTATTCAACTGTAGTCATATTATAATGTAAGTATTACTGGTTTTTACGCTTTAAGTTAATTCAATTTTAACAATGTTCTATGCTTATTAGGCTTTGTAATAATACTTTGTTATAGTTAGAGATCAAATAAATATTATCTAACCTAACATCCTTCATTAAAATCTATAATGTTGGATAGAAAAGAATCTAAAAAAAAAGATTTGAAGAAGAGAAAAATCTAAAAAAGAATCTAGCATGGCAACAAGTAGTATATAATCTAGCATGGCAAGTAAAGTAACTACATATTTTAAACTGGACTGATTTTAACAACACTTTAGTTGACAACGAAATATTTGTTTCCAAAATATTATACTTGCCCATTTACATATAAACAATCCACCTACCGAATGTGATTCCATATATAAGTAGTAGATTTAGCTCGAACTTTAAAACAAAACCATATTTATATAACAGCACACTTGGTCATTTATTCAAAAGCTCGCGGCGAAATATTACGGAATAATCCTAAATTATTACATTGGAAATTAACATTTATGCTAAGCGGAATGTACCTTAATCTGGCGTTTTTTGTCAGTATTGGGTATATTTTTGGATATGGAGGCGTTTTTTCCATTTTACGGAAACATAATATATTTACGTCGAAAATACTTGTAAAACGATGTAAGATGAAAAATAATATTCCAGAGCTATTTTCGAGGACTAACTTTAGTTGCCAATGCACTTTTAGGCTTTTGTTTAACTCTTTATGTAAATGGTATGAAGAGCAAAATCAGAAAACACAAATAATAATACTTATATTAAAAGAAGAAATTCGTAGTTTAATAAAAAATAGTTTCAATCGTATGCAACCTTCAAGATATGTCCTTATTATGTAATAAAATTAATATAATCATGTGTTCATAAAAAAAATATTACAAAAAATATGTTATATTAAATCGACACATACATATGTGCTATTCGGATATTAAATAATTACTTAAAAATAATTTTCTACATTTACTCTAAAACATAACTGTACGCTAACAACGTAACTAGCTAACGCTGTACAACGTGATGCAGGCCGAGCGGTATAGCGCGGCGTCTCTAACTACAGCGCGCGCACGGGATAATAACAACTTTAAATCAGAATAACTATAAAAATATTAGTAATAGAAGGATGTAACAAGTTTTAAAAACTTTTTCAATATTTCTTCTTTATTTCATACGCAGATACTATGTAAAAATTCCTTTAAATAAAAAAGTGTCTCGCTTACTGAAAATCACGATACAATAAAGTTAATGTATGAAGTTTAATCCGTTTTACAAAAAAAATACACTCACTATGGAACTTACGTTACTTCAACTATCACCGCCTATGTGTTCTCAATCGATTAAAAAAAAGAGTATGTGAATAAGTTACCGTAGGAAAGGTAAAAAACATGGTTATACATTTTTGACACATTTTTGGCATTTTCCGGGATAAAAATTTCTGACCCCCCCAAAAAGGTCGTAATTAGTCATTTCACATGCACAAAGCCCCAACCGATCATTTCATAACCATTGTATGTGGTTATACCTCCAAAAATTTTTTTTCGAGAAGGAAGCGACTTTTTTCAGTGATTTTACTCCACTAAGTGGTATAATGTGCTTTTCAATCAAACTTGCTATTTTGACTGCAGTCAAGGGTAATAAAGGATGACCTTTATTGTCACGTTCTCGTTTAAAATAGTTTTAGAAAAACAGGGAAGCTACAAGCTCTTTACTTCGACTGTTTAAATGTTTCGACATATTTTCAACACACAATTTCAAGAATTGCAATAGAAAAACTCGAAAATTTAGTTCTTAAAAGTGCAATTTTTAAAAAAAGACTATGAAAATAGGCAAAAAACGGGAATTACTCACAAAGATTCAACAACACTATATTATACAAAATAATAACTGACACTAGGATAATTGTCAAATAATAAAGGACAACATTGCTGAACACGGCGCAATGTGACCAACATAGTGATAAAAAAAATCGGTTTAAACTAATTTTTGCAGCTTTAATCTAAATAAAATATCTGTTACAATCATTTGCTCTATAAAGTAAAGTGAGGCAGGAGGGCGGTTAGACATGTTGGGGTTGATGTTCTAAACATGGAAATCAGTACCAGGGAGACCATCAAATATCTTGATGTTGTTTTCGACCGAGGGACTAGAATGACCAAACATGTCGAATATGTTACTAAAAAGGTGGAGAAGACCGTCACATCACTGTGTTGGTTAATGCCGAACAAAGGAGGACCTTCATCGGGCAAACGCAGACTACTTGCAAATGTTGCTATTTCCACGTTGCTCTACGCTGCGCCGGTGTGGGGCGCAGCGTAGAGGAGCTATGCGCTATCGCAAATATACAGACATGTGTCAACATGTATTGAGAAGAGTGGCTATCAGGGTGTGATGTGCTTTCCGTACTGTGTCTACTGAGGCTGTACTGGTTATTGCAGAAATAGCTCCATTCGAACTTCAGGTGGAGGAAAGGATCATGGGAATAGGAGCAGATAAATGCGCAAAAACTGAGGCCAGACAAATGACGCTGAACAGTTGGCAAAATAGGTGGGAGGCCATGCGTGAAGTTCAAGTCAGACATCAGGCAGGTGTCTTTCGAAGATTTTCCCCTCTCAAAAAAAAATAAAGTAAAATGAAGGGCTGATCTGTATCTTAAATTATACAACAAATTTAAACATTTTTTCCAAAATTTTATTTAGTCAGGTTTATAGATTTTAGTGTCTATAACGATATGATCGATGCACGTGCATCGGAAAATGTTTTGCGATTACAATATGCATATTGTATTTTAAATATTTTCTGATTATTTCCAGAACTACCGATGATGAATCTGTAACTAAGAAAGTGAAATTAGAAGAGTTTATAAAAATGGAACCTAACCTTGACGCGTTTCTGGATGAAGACTTAGATCTTATAACCAACGTGGGATAAATAAATTCGCTTCATCCGTGAATAAAACATATCAGATACATATTCGCTTATCTGATCCTTTCTGTCATTAAACTTGACTTATATGCCTGCGTATATACCGGGTGCGTCTCAAAAGTGGCTCACCCCTATAACTTTTTAATTTTTTCAAATAAAAAAAAACAGATTTGGTATGTTGGTATATGACATAAATTAGGATTGATTGACGTATTCAATTGTTTTTGGTCACTTCTTGTTTCACTGTGAATGACTACAACTTTTGATTTTTAAATAGCACAGTCGGTATTTTTTTACTTTATTCGATAGAAAATGACACTCTGAATAGAATGACATATCATATGTCAACTTTTGACATTTTAGGACCCTAAAAATTCAACCATATTTTCATGTTTTTCTCAATTTTCTCTAAGAGGGTATGGAAATTTGGAAAAGTATAAACGGGGTTAACCATTTTATGAAGAATATATTTTTCTCAAAATGTCAATAATAAATGTTCCTCTTGTAAAGACAATCCGGCGACGTACTGTAGACTGAAATGTACTACTTACAAACTCTTTTTTTAAGCAAAAATGTCAAAAGTTGACGTATGATGTGTCATTCTTTTCAGAATATCATTTTCTCTCAAACATAGTAAAATGTAATACCGAGGGACCATTTAAAAATCACAAGTTGTAGTTATTTCCGTTGAAACAGGAAGTGACCCAAAAAAATAGGATACGTCAGTCAATCTTGATTTACGTCATATACTAACATACCAAAAAATAAAATACTAAATCTCGTTTTTTGTCTGAAACAAATAAAGTTATAGGGGAGAGCCACTTTTGAAAAACACTCGGTATACACAAATACATATCAGTTAAGCCGCTTTCTCAGAACATCGACTGTCGCCAGCGACACGTCAAAAGAACCAATCAGATTTGTATAAATTTCAAACAGCTGTCAATTTTGAATTTTGTGCAAATCTGATTGGTTCATTTAACGTGTCGCTCGACAATACGAGAATGGGGCTTTATGTTTTAAAAAAAAATAATGGTCCGTGTTTTTATCAAGGCAGAAAGAATCTATAGATTGGCAAACATGTTCAATATCGTTTTGTGCAAGCTCAAATTGGTTACATGGGGTGCAAGATAGGTTTATATGTTAACCTTCTTCTAGAATGAAAGAAGTAAAACAACGCACTTCATTCAAACACTAGTCATAGAAATAAAGGTCTGTGTAATAACTTACATAGTATATGTAAGTTATTACTTATGAAGCATTTGTATGTTTATGAAGCATACGAAGCTATAGGATCTAAGTCACGCGTATTTTGAGGACGAAAAAATATTATAACAATTTTAAAACATTAACTGATTTGTTTATTTTTTATATACATTACTTATATATGTATTATGGAGGGTAGAGGTAAAGAGAATCACATCCTGATGGGACTTAACTTAAGAAGTGATCACCTAAGGGGGAAAAATAATAGTCCACTGAAGGACCACTGTGGTGCTAACAAGCAATAAGACATCGATCTGAACTTAGCGGTTATAAACAAAGTGAAGTTAGTCAAATAGAGTGGCAATACGTGCCTTTAGAAACCGCATATTTATCTATTTCTTTTTAATTCTTTCCTCTTCCAAAAATGTCGGCGCTTCTTTCAAATGTAGAACTTTTGCTACAGCAGCGCCATCTTAATTGTACCCTCTCTGAAGACCACCTTTCAATACACGAAGATATTTCTCCTTACCTCTACCAACTACCCCCATAATATGTATACTTTTATAGGTAGTTAAGCTGTATAGTTTATTATTGACGTTTCCAATAAAAGTTTTACAAGTTATATTTTAGTTTTATTTTGACATAGATTTTGGTTAACTTAAATTGATATTTAAAAAAAAATAAATATAAATATATCTATTAATAAAACACAAAAACCTTTAGTTTGATTGTAGATAAGAAACATATCAAACCAAAGCCACCTGCCTCAAACCTATTTAAAAGTTACATAAGCTATACCAACTTTACTCTGAGATACCAACTATACCATCTACGTTGATTAACTACATGTAATGTAGTTTATGTAGTTTTTAAAAGAAATATGTAATTTTTTGAACCCTGTATCTCAGTTCGATGCTGATCTATGGTCGGGATTCTGGTTAAAATTGGGATCGTATCTATGGCAGAAATTCCCTAATTGACAATAATGACAATTGACATAGTTGACATTTCTCAAACAAACCAAACAAATTTTTAAAACGTCAATTTTATTGCATGATATGAGGCGGTATTTTTTCTAATTTTAATCACTTTTTCCAGATATTTTTGTTATAAATTTGTGATATACAAGCTTAATGGCCAGCACGGGAAGTGTAAGAACTTTTGATATAATTAGATAAAGTATATCCATTTATTTATTGGCGTCTATATTTCAGATGTCAAACAATGTTGAGAACCTGTCTCCTCAAATAATTCGAGGAATCGCAAGGGAGATGCAAGAGCTGGTTAATAATCCCCCGGAAGGCGTTAAAGTTCAAATTAACGAGGAAGATGTTACCGACATTCAAGCATTTATTGAAGGCCCTTCAGGTATATAAATAATACAAAGTGCCATTCAAATAGATAAGAAATTCAAAGGGTGATAGTACCTAATCTATTTCTATTATTGAATCTAAAAAATATAGAACTCTATTGTTACTCCCATATAGTCTATATGTATATGTTATGGACAATGATGTATACAGCGCATTTCTGATAATACCGGGCCAATAAAGTAAATAGGTAGCCTGGATATTTAAGAAAATGGCTCTAAATTAAGAGCAATGTTGAAAACGTTACTCTTTTATTGATTTGTCAGTCATTGTTCAAGCAATAACATTACTGGTCACATAATATTGGGAAATATTGAAACAATTATCAGCCGCACAACAATATAACATTTAAAGAAGAGTGTCCATTTTTAATTTTGCACTGGACACCTGTCTTGGTAACCATGTTAGCATCATCAGCGCGCGTCCAGTGTAAAAGTATAAGTGTTTTGGTGTATTGTGGTGAATTAGTGTTTTATTTTATGTACCATTTCTAATCTTTTAGACACAGACGTTAACTTCAACTCCCAGGCAAAGTTGTTAAATTGATAGTTCTTCAATACAAGTTATCAATATTGTTCAAATCCTTTAGATTTTTATGTTAGTAGGTGGTCAGTAACTCCAATGTCCAACCTGTGGGCATATACAATTTTGACCTGTCATTACTGTTAAGGTCCGGTTTTACATCTTTGTCCATAACAGATATACTGAACTATGCTCTGCGTTTTATAGTTTAATATACCGTACTTAATAGAATGTTTAAAAAAATCAATTTTTTTTTCTTAATTATATCGGAAATGTTGAAAATGATGTAAAAAAATACTGTGAATGTTTGATCTCTTAATATTAATATTAATAAGAGGTGCCTTATTGGAAATTTTTATTTTCCATTTGATTAACATGGGATTTCTTTTACAATTATGGCATTTTTTAACTCTTTAAAGAGTTTTCAGACTAGTTGGATCGAAACATATTCTTGTAGAGAATCAGCTATTAAATTGAAGGATTTGAGGGACATGTTTGAAAAAGTGTATTTGAGTAATGAAAAAGTTGAAAAAGTAATAAATTAAAAATTAATAAATAATTGAATCACAAAATTTGTATTAAAATGTCCGTCTGTCCGTCTGAGAACTCCATTGAGTACCTCTATGCACATGCCGAGTTTGGTTCCAATCGATCCATAATTAAGAAAAATCCTGATGATTTCGTCTATATAGAGGCATCGGCATCGGTTCGAAACGTCGAGGACGTCATCCTGTAGCCCGTCCCCAATTATGCCGAAATCAACCCATATTTTTCTTCAGTATCAAATCCTTGAATCCTCCATGTACACCGTCGCTCACATAGCCTATCCATCACGACATCAAATGTTGATGTTTCTTACGTCAAAACTAACTGTCACGATTTCGACACAACAGTCGCCGCGTCAGATTTTTAGCCATATGAGGGTGCAGCCACACTATCCTAAAAACGGCGTATCGGCGTAACGGCGTAACGACCTTGAATCGATTTCCAGTAATTCTATTGGCTGAAATTTTTGACAGATGAATTTGACAGATAAAATTTCTGACAGATGAATGTTTCAGCCAATAGAATTAAGGCTGATTCATGGTACACCGGGCCTTACCCGAGCCGGGCACGTTCCGTAAAGTAGACACCGAGCCACGTCCGGGCCTTCAATATATGCTACACCGAGTTGACAACGGGGATCATGTCCGTGCCGATTATATTCTAGAAAACAGTGTTGCCGCAGTGGTACATTTGTACCAAATTTGATACTTTTAATTCTATTTGGTACAGTGGTACTACATTTTCAAATCCAGGATGATTTGGTACAATAATTATTTCCCACGCGCACCGAAAATGAATAGATATTTAATAATTATTGTCGTTGATATTGCATTAAACGCGCTTACCGATACGATTCGGAGACAATCCGCATTAATTAACGACGTATTATAACTATATTAAATAACCCGAAGAAAAAACTTGAAAATTTACTGTTTCTAACATGCTTCTATATTTGCGTTTTTTTTAATAAAATTTAAGTTTTCCAAGTATTGTGTGTAGTATTAGAATTACTTAGATTTCTTCAACCAATACATACTTATAATTGGGTTTTCTGAATTTCTATTTCATGTTTTTCGTCTCGATTTGTGTCTTTCTCCAGGAAGTTTTTTTATGTAGAAATTTATGAAGAAATTCACAGCGACCAAACCGGTTAAAGTTATTTGCAGATGTATTGTTGTGCTTTAAAAAATTTGTAAAATTATAGTGGTACATTTTTAGTTTATAATGTGGTACGCGCTAAAAGTTGGGTGCGGCAACACTGCTAGAAAACAGTCGCTATAGGCCCGTAGACGAACGAAGTATTTAGCCCGGGCGACTCATTTATGTTTGACGCAACGGGGCCGGACCGTAGCGGATCCGAGGAAAAATGTACACCGACATTTCTAGGACGGGGCACGGACGCGTTCCGGCGAAGCTCGGCCCGTGCTCGGCTTAGCATGAATGCATAAGTATAAATAACATTTGACAATGTTTGGCCGTGCCTTCACCGTCGCACGGCCCCGGCCCGTCACGGTGTACCATGAATCAGCCTTTACTGGAAATCTATTCAAGGTCATTACGCCGTTACGCCGATACGCCGTTTTTAGGATAGTGTGGCTGCACCCTGAATCTGCAGTAAAATGACTTTTTAAGCAAAAACTACGGGTCGGACAAAAAAAATCAAGATATGAAAATTGTTTAAAAACGAGTGAAGATTTTGAAAATATTTGATTTTTTCTTTAAAAATATTCAATGCAAAACCCATACGCCATTGGTTGAAATAAATAAAATTGTTTGTACATCAAAAAAGACACTTTGATGCATATGAGACGTGTGTATCAAGTTTCATAAAGATCTCTGTAATAACATCAGAGTTATTATGAAAAAACCTGCTAATTTAGAAAAATTTACCACCCTGTATCTCAAAATTTAAGATGTTTAGGACATGCATTAATAAGTTTATTTCTTAGAATAGGTTCAAGGATCACTTCCTTAAATATTAGTATGTCATTAAGGAACACCCTGTATAATTTTAAACGATAAAATGACTAATATTTTAACAAACATCAATTTAATGCAAATAAGTTACGACCTGTACAAAGTATCAAAAACTTATATAGAGAATGGAAAGCTCTACAAAAAATGTCCTATGAAATTATACCATAAAGTTGATAGTTGCTTCAAAAAAAAAAAATAAAAAAAAAGATCAATCCAAATTTAACAATGAAAATTTCCGATGCGTCACTTCTTAAGGTGCGTCCAGACCTGACGAGGCATTCCAAATTTGCTTGCATTAAGTGTAGACGGGTCCCGCGGAGCCTCGTTGCTATCCGTTCTCTGTCGGTTTTGTGACGGTCGATCAAAGAAAGCTCGCGGCACAGTCTGGACGAGTTTTTGGTAGGCTCGCTCGACTGCGAGATATTAGCTCTGATTTATGAATTTCGACTATTTCAAATTAAATTATCTCAAATTTTTAAATGGTACATCGTTTGTATTATCATTTTTTTTATAGAATTTACAAATTTTGCGTCACTGATAATTTTTACCGTACCGAAATGTAACGTTTCTTTAAACAAATTGAATTATTAGAAAATCTATTAATTTTACATATATAATATCATATGCAAAAAAGTCACCGAATTGTACGTAGAATCTAATAATATAATAAAAATAGGGTATCTATTCCCATTAAAAAAATATATATTATATCCGCACTTTTCGAAGTACCCTGTATACTCTACAGTAATTTTAAAATGTGCTTCTTAACCTTCCCTATAACTTTCTATTTAATATTTTGTTCTAAAAAACGTTACAAAACGTAAAAGATGTCGTGTCTCGAAACAAATGAAGGGTTAAAGGGGAAAACCACCAAAAGGGAAAAAACCGGCAATGAATAAAATACGACGAACCAAATACCATGTTAAAGATACACAAAATTAATTACTGTATTCGTTATTATTTGGCCATCGCTTGTTACATATATTCAATTACAATTTAATATGTGTTTGGGTGCCTTTCACTATAATCCAACTCGCATGTTTCGTGGCAGGCTTGCCTCAAAAAATGGATATAAGATGTCTCGCTCTCGTCTCGCTCTTGTCTCGCTCTTGCCTTGCTCTCGTCTCGTCAGGTCTGGACGCACCTTTAATAAGAGCTCAAAGTTTCACAGTATTTTTTTTTTCGTCAATTCCAACAACATTTTCGATATAATTAAAAAAAATAGTCGATTTTTTTTGAAACAGTCTATATTTACGAAATAAAATTATATTAATGACTCATATCTATTTAGGGACTCCCTATAATGGTGGTATTTTCAAGATAAAACTGAATCTTGGAAAGGGATTTCCGACAGAACCACCCAAAGCCTATTTTTTAACTAAAATTTTTCATCCAAACGTAGCAATAAATGGAGAAATCTGCGTTAACACTTTAAAAAAGGATTGGAAATCTGATCTCGGAATTAAACATATTTTACTTGTAAGTAAACCCTAATTAAACTGCAAATTCTCTGTGTTATTTTCAAATATTCTTTTAGACTGTCAAGTGTCTTTTAATAGTGCCCAATCCAGAATCAGCCTTAAACGAAGAAGCAGGTAAATTGCTGCTGGAACACTACAATGACTATTTTCAAAGGGCTAAAATGATGACTGAAATACATGCTCAGGTGAGAAGATTTGAATTTATTTATTTTTTATTTCTCCAATTTTTTTACGGGATTGTTAATTTTTAGCCTCACAAGAGTAAAGGCGTATTAGCTGATGGACCATTGGCTAAAAAACCAGCTACCGACAAAAGTAAATTAACAGCAGAAAAGAAAAAAATTCTCAAAGATAAAAAGAGAACTCTAAAACGTTTATGAAGAGTTCTGAGCATGCTGAAAGGTTTAGTGTAATATTTTTAAGTTTGAATGTGAATAAATGTTTTTCATATTTTTCCATTTAAGTGTTCTTGAAATTATACATGTATTTTTGACTTATTTTAATTTTTAATGTAAATGTTTTGTCTATTCAGGCCTATTGTATGTTGCAAATCTTTCCAGAGTGAAACTGTTTTAAGTTAATAAAAAAAAGATGTCATCCATATATTATGTATAAAGCAACAATATTTTTCCTTCTTTTGTGTTATTGTATTTTGGTATTTATATTTATTTATTTTGCTTTATATCTACAGTAACTTTTTTATGTAATGGTGAATAAGGGCTCCAACACACTGACGACCAGGTCGCACCGGCCAGGCCGCAGCTACCTCTAAAACCATTAAATCAAATGATATAGCGCACACTAACGTCCTGGCCGTCCATTGGTCGTTGCGACCAGAAGACTGCACGGAAATATTATTTTCTGCCGCTTGTTGCCGGTTTTCTTCCAAATTAAAAATAATTTTTCAGATGAAATCCCTCAAATTCAAGGCACAATATTTTATTTTCTATAAGATATAGTGTTTTAGTGTAGTTTTTGCACACGTGCAGAAAATCCAAAGAAATAGTATACTAACTGGATCAAAGGTAAACTTAAATCTAATCCCTTTTTTTATCAAGGGTCGATTCTAGTAAAAACTCAAAACATTTTTATATGACATACCTACTCTATTTATAGTTGGTATGATACCTGTTATTATACTTTTCGATGTTAAAAAATAAAAATAATAATATTTAAAGTTTTTCTACAACCACTTGTTTTTTTTATTAAATTAGTTGTTTTAGTTGTATTGTAGTCATGTACAAGGAGGGCAACTGTATTTTAAATATTATATTTAATTTAACGTTTTTCAAACAGGGTTCATTAGACTATATTTCTACTAGGTACATTATTTTGAAAAAAAAAATAAGAAAGTAACTTACATTCATAAAAGTAGAAGTAATTACTGTTGTAGATTCTTTGTTATATTGTAAACATTGAAATAACTGGAAGCTAAACTTTTTACCTGCTTATATTTAGAGCCAGTGTCTGACGATCTTTTTTTACGATGGCCCGAATATATTTACTTCTAAAGTCGTTAAGGGCGCCATATAAGTAGAAAAAAGAAACAGAATATCTCTCTTTTTGTCGGTCGCGCGTACACAATGCTTTTTGTTTGTTGTTAATAGCAACTTCGCTTTTTAGTTAACTCGGATATTTTAACATTTATGAAACAATATTTTCTAATTGGTAAAACGTAAAAAATCGTTAGATTTGACAACTCTGTTGAAACTGGTCGTTCATCTGGCCGCAGCTAAAAACGCAATACATCCGGCCAGCCGACGGCCAGGTCGTTGCGACCTGGTCGTCAGTGAGTTCGAGCCCTAAAGATAAATCTTCTTTTTGCAACTTTATGAAGAATCTTCCTTAATTTAATATCTTTCAACTGATTTTATTTTATATTGTTACTTTACCACTGAATTTTGGACTATTTTTTGCAATAAACAATATCTAATAGATATGTTATGGTTAAGGTCCGACATTCGATTAATATTGACATTACCCGGTTAATCTCGAGAATAACACAACACAAAACAACCAAAAATAAAACCAAACCCAAACACCTGTTAATATATATCGACACTAACCGGGTATCGGACTTCAACCGTAACATATACGTTTCTATTACTTCATAAAGAACTTTTGTAGAATTTCAAACCTTTTTTTATACTTCATATTTATATTATACATATTTCTTTCAAGTCTGAAGATTAAGAAATGATTTTATGCTGTTAAGATATTTCAGAATAGTGCAATGAGATTGTGTTTTATATGTACATCTGATTTTCTATAATTAATTAAATGTGTTCATGTAGAGCTTCTTTGTAAGTTTATTTATTAAATAGAATTTAATTTACTCAATGTCTTTTTTTACATGTTTAAAGGGACAAGGATAGGAAGGAGAGTAGATATAAATTAATCGAAAAAAGTTAAGGATATTGTGTTTTAGCGAGGAAGAAAATTTTTGAGAAAAAATGTGTTATAACTATTAATACCTATGTCGTTTGTGTTTAAAAAAATACTGTTTGTAAACATAAAAAATTGTACCCAAACAATTAAAAAGCATTATCATCAAAAATGTACATTTAATTTTTGTTTAGAATAGAACTTGTTTGCGTGTTGCTAAGCGACAGTTTGCAATGTTGTCGTTATTCTGTCATCGATAATATGAATACACGTTATTTTAACAGTAGAGGAAGCAAATCAAGCCATTGGGTTGCTTCTTGGCGGTGCGCGACGGATCGATGTGGCTGATTGATTTAAAGTCACCTAAAGTGTAATTTCTAGACTTAAAACCCGATATAATGAGACTGGATCTGTCATAGAAGGCATATGGAGGGTAGATCAAGGTCGACAAATGCTAGGGAGGACCGAAGTTTACTGAGAGGAGCTAAGATGGATCCTGCAAGAAACTACACGTTGCTCAGCCGGGACCTTTTGGATGCCAGCAGGGTACGTATTGCCCCTCGGACGGTCTTAAATCGATTTAAAAAAGCAGGTTTACATTGTTATAGGCCTATAAGACGCCCTCCGTTGACCGCGAGAATCAGCTTGAGATCATAAAGCTCAACGTTTGCTCTGGTGTAATGAAAGAGCTAACTGGAATGATGAGTGGCACACTGCGATGTTCAGCGATGAAAGCCGCTTTTTTCTTTGTACTGACAGACGTACAGTTCGTGTGTGGAGACTAAGAAATACAAGACTTAACGACCGATATGTTCAAGAAGGGCATCTTTTGGAGTTAGAGGTGGATACAGAGGCCGAACGGAATTGTATGTCTGTGAAGGTACAATGACAGGTGAAATTTATGCTGACATCATTGGAGGATCTCGGAGGGCGTTTTATAGGCCTATAGCAATGTAAACCTGCTTTTTTTAATCGATTTAAGACCGTCCGAGGGGCAATACGTAGCCTGCTGGCAGCCAAAAGGTCCTGGCTGAGCAACGTGTAGTTTCTTGCAAGATCCATCTTAGCTCCTCTCGGTAAGCTTCGGTCCTCCCTAGCATTTGTCGACCTTGGTCTACCCTCCCTATGCCTTCTATGACATATCCAGTCTCATTAAATCGGGTTTTAAGTCTAGAAATTACACTTTAGGTGACTTTAAATTAATCAGCCACATCGATCTGTCGCGCACCGCCAACAAGCAACCCAATGGCTTAATTTGCTTCCTCTACTGTTAAATAACGTCTATTCATATTATCGATGACAGAATAACCACAATATCGCAAACTGCCGCTTAGCAACACGCAAACAAATTCTATTCCAAACAAAAATTAAATGGACATTTTTGATGATAATGCTTTTTATTTGTTCGGGTACAATTTTTTATGTTTACAAAAATATTTTTTTAAACACAAACGACATAGGTATTAATAGCTATAACACATTTTTTCTGAAAAATCTTCTTAGCGAAAACATAATATCCTTAACTTTTTTCGATTATAGTTTAGATAGTATAGGCGATTTTAAAATAAAACACATGTTTACAATATCGTTTATCTATTATTTAGCTATATAAAAATAATACAAAACTTATCAAATACCGAGTACTGTGCTGTCGTTATTTAAATACCAGGACAAGTACAACTATTAATATGATAATAAGTACTATTAAAAGTATGATTTTTTTCTGAAACAAACAAAATTATACTCAGTTAATAAGCATTATACGTACACTGCCACCAATGTTGCTTGTGGGTAATTATATAGAACTTTTATAAATTTAAACTTGATTTTATTGTTCATCAATACTTTATGGATATTACATGAGCCTTTCAATTGACCTAAATCACTGTCTCAAGTTTCAACCGTCCCTGAAAGGGCCATACAGAATACTACGAACAATAAAATCCAAATCGTTTCAACCGTATCTAGTCTACCTCGCAGCAGTATAGGAATTTAATTTAGGTAATTCCTTAAACAGCCTCTACACTATGTGGAGAACTCTTCGAAGCAGGTCAATGCTGCGTTTCGTCGCCCAACTTTGTCACATTTCGTTTATTCCCAGTCGTCTTGACCCATTTCGGTTTGCCTCGACCTACTGTCGATTGTTAAAAGCGCCTGAAAACTAGTCGGGAGGAGGGCATGGGGGGATTTTTTGCGTTTCCTGTTACCTCGTTTAATTTTGTTTCGTTTTGAGCTATTTCCAAAACGGTGCGGTATTTGTACCCGAGGCAAAGGACTTTTTTTCATAAATCTCAGTGAAATAACTACTTAAACCTAGAATTTTTAACCGTTTCTAAAATAGCTGTTGTTACGATGATATTTCGTTAATTACATCTCGTTTTATGTTGATATACATATATGTTCCCCAAAATTAATATTTGAACACGCGTTTATAATATGTATAGTAGATATTTAAGAACAAAACTTTTCACTTAAACTGCAGAAATATAATTACAATATTTTTATGATTTAATTTTATTATAATGGATTAGTATATAAAATTGTATGTTATGTTTGTTTACGCGGCCTTAATTGATTAATATAACAGTAGTATCGCTTAATGAGTAATACTGGTAACATCATCAATATATCGAGCTGATTGGGAAAATTATTGATTGACCCAATATCAATAAGAGATACTTTTATATATAATAATAACATGGTTTGATATAAATCTATTCAAAAATAAGAAATAATTAGACGATTTTTTAAACAGTTTAACACTGTGGAGTATAACATATAAAAGGCGGACCGCCAGAACATTTAGTTACTGCGTATTGCCCTGCAGTTTTACGATTTTAAGTTTTGGAAATATATTTTTTTACTATATTGTAATTAATAATATAGACAATAGTAGTGGGAACTATCGAATGAATACTATCGAAACATTCGATAGTTGCAATTCATTCGAATAATTCGATAGTTAGTAAGAAAACATTCGTTGAAAACTATTCGAATAAAAATTATCGAATAGATCCGTCATCTGCCTTGAAATATTGTATTCTAGTAATTCGGCAGCAAAAACCATTCATTTATATAATTCATTCATTTATGAAATTCATTTATTCGTCAGGATCGATTATAATAAAATATTAACTGAATTTTAGTTGTCGCCCGGCGACGTAGGTTTCTTTCCGAGAAACCCGACAGCGGTCGGTGGCAATGCTATGAAAGAAGCCGGCATCTTTGATTTTTGCGGAGTCAGATATAGATAAGGACACATTATTTTTTTATTGAGGTGCTAGTATTTACACAGAAAATACATTATGAAGGGCGCTGTTGCCATATTTTGGTATTAGTTGATATTAGCAAAGAATATTATTGTTTGGCTTTAGTTAGTTAGGGATAGTATGTCTATATAGTCTGCATTCTTTTTTATTAATATTCTGTTGTTACACTGCAATAATATTTGTTATTTTGGATGTAGGAAAATGATTTTTAATGGTTTTAAGCAAAGGCTGGTTTAATAAATAATAATAAGAGTAATAATTTGTTATACCTATTAACAACAAAATTTAATTTTTTTTAAGTAGTAGCAAAATATAAACAACAAATTAGATGTCAAAATTATTTATATTAGCTCCTATTTAAAAATAATATAGTCTCTAAATTTTTTGTGTGTGGCAACGTTGGTTTATTAAATAATAATAATTACAGAACTAATTTGTTATATTAACAACAAATTTTAAAATCATGAAATATAAACATTTATTAATTTTCTAAGCATGCAGTGTAATGGAAGGAAAATATAAATAAAAAATTAGAAATCAAAATTATTTATATTAGGTGCTTTATATTACTATTTAAAAATTATATTTACTTTTACTGGCATTTACTTTAAAAATAAATGAAATATTTCTTCGCAAAAACTACATGTAAGAGAATTAGCATAAACAAAATACAAACATCGTTAACTTTTTTTTTTTTTAAATTGGCACGTGTAAAACTTTCATTTTAATTTTTTCACCCCATAGTTTGAGTTCGATAACCATTTACTTAACCACATTACTTAAATATGATTATTAAGTTCCACTAATTCATATTATTAAAACATCTAAAATACAAATATGTATTTTTAAAATTAATTGTAAGTTCATCTCATCTTTCTTAAAAAATGCTACTTCTCAAAATTTCCCATTAAAAAATACACCATATACCATATAAAATTAAATAATTGAAAGATCGGACTACGGAAATCCACACAAATTTTCGGAAAAATTTTGACCACCTGCACATGCACACAATCGTCAATAAATAAAATTATAAAATAACTACTATTTTAGTATTTTAACTATTTTAATAAACGCAAAAATAGCACAGTATTTATACGGCGAAGTTATAAAAATTTGGAAGAACTAATAATGCACTGGACGCATACAAAAATCAAACGAATACTAAATTTCATTTATCAAAAGCATTCGATAGTCGTGGGTCAACGATAACTATTTAGTCGCACCGCGAGGTTGTCACATATGCTTTAGTATACAAATGAATGAATGATTTTATTCGAATAAAACCATTCGATAGTTGATATCATTCATTCATTAACCATTCGATAGTCTAATTCATTCGATAGTTCCCATCGCTAATAGACAATAATTAAAACTAAATATTCTTGTGTAACCTTAGAGGAATAGTTAAATTAATCTACCATATTAACTGTTTTCTAAATGCATTGTTTTTGATTTTTCATATCAGTTTATAGTGGTATTACATTACACTCCATTGCAAATTAATGATATTTATTCATACTCCACGTTTACTTATTTTTCTGAAGCCACCACAACGTTTGACCTTGATTGCTTCGTGCTATTTCACAAAATAGTACGATAAATAAAAAGCTCGTGTTATAAAAATTAGTTCCCACGTTACCTGAAATAGATCGAGACACGCCGTGATTTGTTTTTTATTGTTAGTCCAGTTTTTATTGTTAGAACCCAGAATAGAATAAAATGGTTCCATCATGTCTCAAACGTATCGGTCCTTGAAAAAGCTAACTGCGAGAGTATTGAAGTCATGATTACAAAGTCCCGCTTAAGATGAGCTGGTCACGTATGCAGAATGCAAGAAAACCGCATACCAAAATCTCTGCTTTGCGGTGAGCTTGTAGACGGTAAAAGGAGGCCGGGTAGACAACTCAAAAGGTACAGGGTGGGTCAAATTCGACGCTTTTAAATGGAAACACCCTTTTCTATAGAAGATAGACAAAAACTAATATCGGAGTCTGGAGCTCAATTTTTGTCAAAAACATGATGGTGAAAACCGCATATCGATATCTGTTACCGTTTCGGAGTTACGGGGTGTTTTTCAAAAATATGGATTTTTAACAAATCGCTGTAACTTTTTTGCAATGGAAAATTTTGCATTTTTATGAAAACATCTCCAGAGCACCTTTTTACGTAGAATTTAATGGTTTAAGTATAATTTTTTTAAAATTAATAATTTAAGAATTATGAACAGAAAATTTAATTTTTTATACGGGACACCGTGTATATTTTTAATTTATTGAAAATAATTTAAAATTACCTTTCCAAAAATGTAACACACTTGATATTTTGCTCGATTCCTCTTCGAGATATAGAGTATATAAAAATTCGCTCGCTTTAAATAAGTAGGCTTTGAACGGCGCCGGCTGTAATGTAAAAAAATTTTAGCTGTGAGCATCAATTAAAACGAAAATAATACTTGCTATGAGAGATGCAGAATTTTATAACAATTTCAACCAACATCAACACATTTAAACTATATCTAATAACAATAAAACTAAATAGCAAACCAAGACATGAGATTTTGCTACAGGTGTTCGACATATCGACTGTCTTCTGTTATGAACAGACGGGGCAGTTTTTGAACATTTCTCGCGGAATTCATTAATTCGGTGGGGGTGAAAGATACTCTCTCATAACTGCTAAGTATTTCTAATTCTTGTCTAGATTATCCGGAAGAATAAGGAACCTTTATTCTTCTCCAAATATATCCATAGGATTTGATCCATGGGCACTAAGTCAGGCGGCCTCGACGGCCAACGGCTGGGATCTTGATTAGCTATTCAATTATTCTTGAAATTGGCTGCAAAAATTTGCTGATAACTTCAGCGTTCAGAGGCGGTGCGTCGTCCTGCTGGAAAAATGTTTTCGAATTCCATTACGTGACCATCTTCTGATGCGTGTCAAATACTCGTCAACGAGTAATGGCAGTAGTAGTAGGATGCAAAATGGTACTAATTTAGTTTTTCTTCCAAGAGATAATGCACGTATAGGAAGGGTATTTACAGTGGTCAGTAAGTTGTAGACAGGTACAGAAAAGACAATTACCTCTACCTTCTTTAAAATACTCGGTAATTACAAAATGCAGTATGACGGGGTCCGGAGAATATTTTGAAAGAAATAAGAGATAATCTATTCTCAAAAAAGATTCATTCCTTGGCGCCTCATCTGGTCACTTTACTATGACTTCAGTTTTAAAACTTTCTTCTTTTTTTCGATCCCTTGAAGGATCTTTTTTGGTTCATCTTCTGTTATCCATTCTCAAATGATAGATACAAATATATAACCATTTTTAAATAATTTTTTTATTCTAATCTTCTTCAATATGTTTCTATATAACTCCCAGATACAAAAAGGAGTGTCTGTCTTTATACACTGTTATCTTAATGTGCGTGTTAAAAAAGTTATTAAAGAAATTCTTTGTTGTTAAACTGCCGTGTGTAAATCATCGTGTGTTTTAAGGGCATTATTATCAATAAGGGGTCCAAAGCCTATTAGTTAAAAGTGGCGAACTTTTAAAGATTCAGTATTTCGAAGGGGATTATAACAAAATATCAAGTGTGCTATATTTTTGGAAAGGTAATTTTAAATTCTTTTCAGTTAATTAAAATATAGAGGGTGTCCCAAATAAAAAATGAATTTTTCTGTTAATAACTCTTAAATTGTTAATTTTAAAAAAATTATACTTAAACCATTAAATTCTACGTCAAAAGGTGCTTTGGAAATATTTTCATAGAAATACAAAATTTTCCATAGGATAAAAGTTACAGCGATTTGTTAAAAATGCACATTTTTGAAAAACACCCCGTAACTCCGAAACGGTAACGGATATTGATGTGCGGTTTTCAACATCATGTTTTTGATGAAAATTGAGCTCCAGACACCGATATTAGTTTTCGTCTCTCTCCTATAGAAAAGGGTGTTTCCATTTAAAAGCGTCGAATTTGACCCACCCTGTACAAGGATATTTTCCACGAAAACTTATTAACGAAAAGGGTATTAACAAGCAGAATGAGTGGGAAGAAGCAGCTCACAATAGAACGCAATGGAGAAAAATTGTAAACTCAGTTAACAGAGACAACCAAAAAGCTAAGAGGCAACAAAGCAATGAGATTTTTGAATGTCTGGAGTGCGGTAGACAGATAACATCACGTATCGGGCTTTTCAGTTACAGAAAAGCTCATGAAAGAAGACGCCTTGGGTGACCATCTTCTGATGCGTGTCAAATACTCGTCAGCGAGTAATGGCAGTACGCATGTATGTATGTATGTTAGCCCAGATTAACAATAAAAACAAACAATCAATCACGGTGCGTATCGATCTATTTCAGGAAACGTGGGAACTGATTTTTTAATACGGGTTTATATTTGAGTTTTCTTCTGAAAGTCTCTCCAGAAGTGTTTTAAACGACCGATGTACCTCCTATATTTTGTTTCATGCAGTCACTTGATATAAACGTTTAAATTAGTTTACCTCAAAATGCCCATTGTTTTCAACTTGTTACTACGACTACTACAAGTACTTCATAGAAATATACACAAGCAACATTTCTTTATATATAAAGTGTGTCCAACGAGAGAACAGTTTTTATCTGTCATTTTAATTCACGGTCAAATTGTATTCCCTGTCATTTTGTGGATGTCATATATGAAATATATTATATGCCTAATGCCTATAATATGTAAAGTTAAATTATAAAACTTCAAATATTTATAATGAAATAACAGAGGATTATCGGTGGATGTTGTTTGTATACAGGGGGTTTCAAAAAACATGTGCCTTCTCTCGTGGGGAGATTCCTCACGTAAAAATAAGGTTTATTTTTCATATCAACATAGGTCCCATTCTGCTTTGTTTCGTAGCTACAGGGTGTTAAAATCTTAATAATCTTTCGATTTATTATAATTTTCTTCCAAGTACTTTTAGCGTTTCGAATGAAATTTTGAGGGTAAAAGTTGCTGTAAGTGCGACATATTTTAATGCTAAAAAAGTGTCGACAGATCCGCCAATTATTATTAAATATTATTACACTATTAGTTATTATTATTAGTAGTCAAACCTACAGCAATTTCAAATAAAAAAATAATGGTATTTAAGATAATTAAAAAACCTAATTTTAAAAAGTTTTAACATCCTGTAACTCTAAAACTATGCATTTTTGATGAGAAATCAACGAGTACTTATTTAAAACATTCGAAAGTTAATGATATTATTTTTTTTAAAGATTGCTATTAGACCTGGATCAAGGCAAATTAATGAAATTGCGTTGATCTCATCAAGGAGGTCGGAATCGACAAAACATCAAGAGACAAAGTTTAATCGGAATTAAACTGCTTACACTATTTCACTAAATAGAGAAAAAAGTCAGTAGCGTCAATGCTTTTTTTAGAAAAATATTCCAGTGATAATCCATATGCACGTCTCTGATAAATCTGTCGACACTTTTTTAGCATTAAAATATGTCGCACTTACAGCAACTTTTACCCTCAAAATTTCATTCGAAACGCTAAAAGTACTTGGAAGAAAATTATAATAATACGAAAAAATATTAACATTTTAACATCCTGGAGCTACGAAACAAAGCAGAATCGGACCAATGTTGACATGAAAAATAAATCTTATTTTTATGTAAGGAACCTCTCCACGAGGAATGGCACATGAAACACCCTGTATATGTCGAAATATTCCCTGAGACGTTGAGCAGACTTTATGTATTCGGTATCATATCAAGTATGTTATTGTAAGAAATTACCTTCTGAAATTTTTTTCTCGATTTTTCTCCCTTCTTAAGGTCATCTCGGCCTCTTTCAACAAAATTTTGAGCCATTTCCGCTTGATACTCTACCCTGTCTATTAACTCTTGCTAAAACAAGTAAAGCATTAGAATAATTTAACACTATAGCCCCCCATACACCAGCGGATAAGTAGACCGACTTGATATGGCACGAGCCAAATCCACAGATAAAACTCTGTGTTTGTGGCCTGTGGTGAGCCAATTCTGTGGCGGACCAATCCTGCCACGGACCAAGTCCGCAGGCATTGCAGGCTTGATCTGTCAGATTATATTCGTCTAAACAAAACGATCGAAGGATAAAGTCCGCGGACAATTAACACACTCTCTTTCTAAGCGAAAATCCGTCAATGTTTAATCCGATAAACAATTATTTATACAGACCGGACCACCGTAGTAGTAACATAGGCAGAACCGGACGAATTAGCGTATACCCGTCCGCCGGATAAAAAGCAGGCGAAAAAATGCGATAAAATAAAAATAGGAAGATATGTGATAAGAGTGTTTCATAGTTTGTATTTATTCGTGTTTTAATAGCCAAAACGAATACATAGATTCTCGCGACAGTTCTCGTGGAAAATTTATTTTTTAAATAAAATAATGGATGTTTACGAAGTTCGTGAGAAAATTCAAATTGTAAAATGGTATTTCCAAAATAGGTCTTATCGGGATACACAAACAATTTTTCCACAAACTTTTGTATACAGACTTAACAGGAGTTAAAACAAGTGTTCATTTGTGCTACGCGGATCAAAATCCCACGTTTTCAAGTAATAAAATTGCTGAGTTGGTAGTCCAAAAACTATTTTGTGGCCCGCTACATCACCAGATCTTTCTCCCAATGACTTATTTTTGTGGGGTTATGTAAAATCCAAAGTGTATTGTCATAATAGGGCTAATAATCTGGATGAACTTCAAGTAAAAATATGACAGGCTTTCCAAACTATTAGCCCTTATATGTTAGCCAATGTCAGACGGGGATTTTACGACCGCCTAGGCTTCTGTCTAGCACAAGAAGATGGTTTTTTTGAACACTTGTTATAACTTCTTTTTATTTAGAGTAATATTTTAGTTTTTTTTTGGGTTTAGAGAACTTATTTATTTTTAGTTTTGGCTTGTAAATACACTCAAATAATAAATATTTAAGCATTTTCATTTTAAATGTTACCTTAATTAAGTGAAGGTAAACACTTAAAATGAAAACAAATACTTGGCACTCCTAGAGTCGTATTCCTAATCTGTCATGACCGACCCGTCCAAGCACAACTGCAACTGCGTACTGCCTGACAGCCGACTAGCCGGCAGTGAATCTCGAGTACGAACGCAAAACGAGTAAACGTAAATTCGTCCGGCAACTTTTTGTAATTTAATTTATTTCTATTTTGTATTTGGGGTCGCACCACTCTGGTACTTTGTGCCATTGTATCGTTTTTTTAATCGCGGTGCGATCCCTTTAGACACACATTTATTAATACTAATATTATTCTGTAAAACTTAATGGGGTCTAATAAAGAAATTTGGATTTGAATTTGAACTTGCTCTGTTACTAGTAGCCTGGTCTGCTCTGTATAAAAACTGCTATAAAACGTCGAGTTTTGTCCCAAACAAGAATATTTAATCGGACATATCTAATCGGCACACCTGTTTGGCAAGCCAGATTAGGCCGTATAAAAAATCGGTCAGCTTATCTGCTGACAGAGCTGCAAGCTCACAGAAAACTTAAGTATTTTTTGGATTTAAATGATTTTAATGACTTAAGTCATTTGATTTTAAGTCATTTTTTGAAAGCTGACTTAAGACTTAAAATTTAAGTCTTTTTGAAAATGAATTGTTATTTAAATTTTTATTCCGAAATAGAAAAAAATTTAAGTCTTTTTATAACAGGCTTAAGTCAGATTTTCATATATTTTTATGATACATTTTTAACAGCAGCATTCAGCGGCAATTAAACAGCAGAATAAGAAAAAACAATGCTCAATACCACTAGTAAATAAAATGATAGTTTTTCGGAACCAATTTTGATTATTTGTCGTGTTACGGGTGCGTAGTGAGTCTATTGTCTTTCAAGTGAATCCCCGACTTCGTTATATAGTCCGAAAGACGAACGAAAGAAATTTATTTCGAATATATTGAAGCCTTTGGCGAAGACAGTCACAGGCCAAGTCCGCCTTCTGATGTATGGGGGACTAATAACCCGAAGAAAGCTATCGGCGCAACGCACTGTACTAAAATTTTATTTGTACCAAACTCGAGTGACTTAAAAATCAGTGCTATGATAAAAAATGCAGAAAAATGAAGTAAATAAGCATTGAAAATTTGATTCTGATAGAAGATAGACACCAGTAACGAGGCTAGTAAGCTAGTAACGAGGCTGCCAGGGCGGTCAATACCAAAAAAAATCACTAGGACGCTTTGAAAACAGGCCTAGTCCGGTAGAAAAGAATTACCGTACAGCCTAGAGCCTAATTTACCGGACTGAAATCAAATATGTCAAGGTGTGTTTTACGATACAGTATGAAATAAAAACTATTGTATGCCATAAATATACAACTGATACCTGATTATCAATCAATATTGCCATATGAAGAAACATGTCTCTGACTTCTTCAAGCATTGTCTCGATTTTTAAAAGTTGTTGGTGCCTCTCCTCTATATCTTGTAACTGTCTCTTAGCTTCGGCCGTTTCACTCAATAACTGAAAGTATCGTAAATTAATTTATTTTTAATGTAAATAATTATGTTCAGTTCTTTATGATTCTTTTCTACTGTTTTTAGTGTGACTAATTTAAATGCAAATATAATACATTTCTTGAAAGGAATCTGTTTTTTTTTGCTAATAGAAGAAAATCTACAAAATATTTTTTTTTAAACACCATAACGTTTAATTGAAACGGCACTCGGAACACCCATTTGTCAGTAGTATTTTACTAGTCAAACAAATTTGCCTAACCGACAAATCTTATGCATATATTGATATTTAGGCAGAGGTAGCGCTTTAGCGTAGGGAGGAGTACTTAGCAATTTTTCAAAATGGTTAAAAGCACTTTTGGTCTTTTCACTGCGCATTTTTATTTCGTAACTATGATCCCTAGTATCCCTGTATTCCCTGCATATACCTATACAGGGTGCTACAAATTCGAGGTACGAGCATTGGTATCTCGGTAACCGTAATAAATACGAATATGGTTAAATTGGGGCAAAGTTACGCTTTGGGATGTTTACCAAGATGCCATCAAAAAAGTTTGGTTTGTTGTTTATGTTGAGTTTTTATGGTTAAATTGGGGCAAAGTTACGCTTTGGGATGTTTACCAAGATGCCATCAAAAAAGTTTGGTTTGTTGTTTTTGTTGAGTTTTTTGGAAAAACAATTTTTTTGAAAATCAATTTTATTTTTTCCTGTCACTACTTTTTAGAAAATCGAAAAACTAATTGCACATTCTCAATTCTCATAGCCACTTTACTAGGGCTTATTTTTAGATTATCAAATTAGCTGATAATTTGTGAGATACAGAGGTCAACTTACTTTTTTTAAATAGGGACCTGGTTATTGTCTGACGTCATTTATAACAGTGAAATCAATACATTTCAACATTTACAATAAAGAGTACAAAATGCATTCGGAAGTACATATAAGAAGAAGATATGTTCAAAACGCGATAAATAAGATTGAACGAAAAATAAATTTGTGCATTAGGGATGGTTGTAACCTTTTCGAACATGTAGAGCATTAGAAACTAGTTTGTAGAAGTTGATTTATTTATAATAACTGGGATTAATATTATGCATATTATTAGATCGTACACAGAGATTTCAGATTCAAATTAAAAAAAGTTAAAAACAATTTCTTATTGCTGACCTGGATATTATTTATTTGAATCTTTCAATTGACTCGATTTTCCTTATTCAATGAATTAGCGCTGATTAATATTGTTGCGATAAATATAATCAGATTAAATAATTTAAAAAACCAGAGTCGGACTTGAAATTATTTTAAATAATAATTAAATAGTTTTGTTATTGTAAAGTACCCAAAACAAAAAAAAAGTATCAAGTTTGACATATCATTATGCAGACTGAGTTTTTCCAAAGCTTAAAATAAAAAATGCAGGTCCGTATTTAAAAAGATTAAGTTCGCTTCTGTATCTCACAAATTATCAGCTAATTTGAAAATCTAAAAATACTATCATGTAGCCCTAATAAAGTCGCTATGAGAATGTGCAATTAGTTTTTTGATTTTCTAAATAATAACGATAAAGAACGCAGAATAAAAAATAAAATTGATTTTCAAAAAAATTCGTTTTTCCAAAAAAGTCAGCAATCCTTGGAATTTTTAAAACTTTTTTAATGGAATCTTGGTGAACATCCCAATCGCAACTTTGCCCCATTTAACCATCTTCATATTACGAATTTGTAGCACCCGTATATTTCAACCTAGATAATTTATTTATTTTATGTAGGTAGGTATATTAAATTATTTTGGCTGCGTTGTTTTGTTATTAAATTTATATCTCACTGCCTAATGTTATTTACATTTTATATATTTTTTCGAACGTTGTTACTCGCAAAATATTCGCGTAATTTGGCCAATACGAATATGAATATCAAAATACATAGGAATATTTGCTAATGCCAATATGATTCTTGCATCACTAATATTTATAAGAAGGATGATAACTTACGTTTTCGGTAAAAACTTGGACATCTGTTTTATCTTCAATCAATTTAAGTAACTGTTCCTCAGTCACGCTGATTCCTTTAGCCCTGATTTGAGCCTTCAATTGGGCCTTTTTAACATTTCGAAAATGTTCCAATTCGGCTACATTTTGCTTGAATGCTTTTTGATACCTCGTTTTCAATGTATTGTATTGAATTGACTTGATACGTCCTTCGGCTCCTAAGGTGTTCACATTGACCAGTTCCTCTTCAAAAATTTTCAGTTTTGCTTGAATTTTGCCCGATATCGAGATGTTGTTTTGAAAAAGGGAATCGATTTTATCATTCAAGTCTGTTAATAAAACATAAAAATTAGTAATAAGTATTATACAGGCTGGCGCCCCTCAAACGTCGTTGAAACCCCAAGGAGAATGACAGTTTTTATCGAAATAAAATCTTGGGAGCAGGGGGTACATAGGGGGCACATGTGACCCAGGCCCCCCTACAATCTCTAAATTGGGTTAAATATTAGGCTTTTGGGTTAAAAATGGTGCACTACAAAGCATATTCTACATTACTTTTTATTTGCCTCCCCTCTAAAATAAATTCATGTATCCGCCCCTGTAGAATTTTAAAAAAATATAAAGGTCTACAGGGGTGCCTCTAAAAAAATATAATCCAAAATTATGTTTTTTGTAATGGAACATCCTATATATTAATTGGTTTTCGGATCCTAGGAAAAAAATAAAGACAAGTTTCGTTAAAGAAGATATAACTAACTTTTTTAAAAATGAAAAATATACTAAAATACAATCAATAATAATATAGTGTTTAAAAATTGCAAGAAAAGCTACCTAAATTGTAATTTACCCTGTATCAACCAAACTAAAATGAACATTTGGCCCGAAAACTTATACAGGGTGAGACAAAATTAATATTGAACATTGGTTATTTTTAAAAGCAAATTTACTCTTTTGTTTCCCAGTATATCATTCCGATATTCAATGCAGATCTCATGTCTCTTTAAAATATTATTAAGATTGCCTACCCCTCCGACGAAGATTTTCCTATATATTCTCTTTTTTATAATTTCGTTTGAGTAGATCTTTATATAGATCATATATAATATATGTTATTAAGGCGGTTGTATTATGCCTGACGTTTCTTCAATATAGCTGTCAAATTAGTTGTCGTCAAAACTATTGTCGATTTGTGTCAGTTGAAGTGAAGAAAATTCTTAGAAATTTGATGAAAATGAGAACTAATCTTATACCTACCAGAGAAATCGGATATGGTTCCATTAAATGGTGAATGCAGTGTGCATTCGCATCTACTGACACTAAATCATAAAAAGGAAAATATCTAGGAAAATCTTTATCAGATTAGTAGGCAAAAATATTTTGAGAGACCTGAATTCTATATTTAATATTGGAATAATATACTGGATGTTTCAACTTGCTTTTAAAAGTGCCCAATGTTCAATATTAATTTTGTCTCACCCTGTATATCTTGTCGGGCCAAATTTTAATCTGGTTTACGCACAATGGTTATTTTAACTAAATACAGGATAATTTACAATTTAAGTAGATTTGAAATTTAAAGTCTCTTGCTCATTGTTAGAAAATGTTAAATATGTCAAAACCCTTACATTTTAGTCATATACTTCTTTAATAAAACTCACCTTTATTTCTTCCTAGAATCCGAAAATCAATTAATATATAGGGTGTCCCATTACAAAAAAGACAATTTGTCTCCACTTTTGACTGGGGACACCCTGTAGAACTATATATATTTTTAATAAATGCTCCAAATTAACGTACATAAGATCCTAAAATTTCTTTTCAATACAAGTTGTCGTTCTCCTTGAAGCTTTGGCGGCGTATGGGTGACGCCATCCCGTATTTTTCTTACCCCTTTGATTTATCTTTATGTCATCTAATTTTTTGATGCATTGTCTTATATGGTCTACATTAGCTTCAATTGATTCGATCCAATCCCTCAATACTTCAGCTCTTTCAAACGTGTCTCTTATATCGGAATTACCACCAGTCAGCGGTTCCCTTTCTTCCTAAAATATTGAATTTTTAATGTTAAAACTGAATTTCTAATTCTTGAAACACTATGTTCAAAATTAATGATATAACAACTACTGAATTATTATGAATAAAACTGTTTTTTTTACGAAACATACCGAGGGATTCATTAAATTTCTAAAGGAAAAATAATACCACTACAATAAATGTATATGCAAGGCAAAACCTGTGCAAAGTACAGAGAATAGCATGCATCTACATCACAGGTGCCATGAAAACGTGCCCAACAGCAGCAATGGGGGTCATCCTAGACGTAACACCACTGCACATTGTCGTCGGTAGTTATGCCAATTTGACAATGATTAGAATGGTCATTGGCGGAAACAGTATTTGGAGAATTTTCAGGTCAGGGGCTTGGAACATCCTCAAAAAGAAAATTCCACTCCTCCAACACCCAGTGGATAACATACTAAGAATTTATAACTTTGGGAAACACCTTACTGTAGTCCAATTGTATTGAGCAATAAACAGGTTTGGAAGAGAGAAAGGTTTGCTCGGCATGTAAAAGACCATACCATAACGTGGTATACTGATGCTTCCAATACTAAAGCAGGGACAGGCATAGGAGTATTTAGGCCGAAAACTAAATACTCCGAACCAATGGACACTACCCCAGCATTATTCAGGCACAAATCTGCGCTATCGAAAGATGTGTACAATTTATCTTAGATAAGGAAGTATCGAAAACAGGAAATATCCATCCTATCCTATAGTCAAGCAGCACTAAATGCGATCAACTCAGTAAGCATCAATTCGAAGTTGGCCAAAGAATGCTTAGAGAAGCTGAACAAATTAGGCAAAGGAAATAAAGTCCTCCTACTCTGGGTGCCCGCTCACCAAAGGAGGGAACACTCCACTAACTGGACCAGAACCGTTCTGCTTTCCAAGCGGAAACCAACTTAAAGCGGAACTGAAGAACCTGGAAGACTCCATCCGTAACAGAGTACGTAAGCCGACGTTTACGTATTCTGATCCGTAACCTAGAATGGGAATCCTCCAACGGTCTAAGACACTCGAAAAAATTCCTCAGAACTCAGAACGTACGACCGAGAAAATTCAAATACTTTCTTAGATTTAAGCAAAAACAAAATTTCGTCTTCGGATTGTCACGGAATTTCTATAACAGGACACTATCTGCTCAATGAACACCTCAGCGGAACGCCGTATCGGCGTAACGACCTTGTATCGATTTCCAGCAATTCTATTGGCTGAAAAATTCATCTGTCAAAAATGTCAGCCAATAGAATTACTGGAAATCGATTCAAGGTCGTAACGCCGATACGTCGTTCCCCCTTTTCTAGGATGATGTGGATGCATCCTCAGTAGATTGAAGCTGAGAAACAACGGCGAAGGCAGATTCTGTGGAGAGCTGGCCTCTGTGGAGCCGTCTCAGATACTGGCTTTTGTTAAAACCCTGAAACTGTATGATGAGTTATTTTATCAGCTATAACTCGTTATAGCTCAAGAAAGGGAAACACAGAATAGTGTGTGTAAAAATGTATATGATGTAAATCAAAAAAATTTTAAAAATCCATTGAGCGCATCAAAAAATAACTCACAGCATAAATAGTAGCACAAATTACGTGTATATTATATAGTATAGGCTTGGTGGCATTTCAGTTGATTTCAACAAATTCCGACCGCAGCGCTGTCCCAGTTTACCGTTCATGTTGATCCATTTACGGTTTACCGTTCATGTTTACCGTTCATGTTCACGTTGATCGTCATTAAAATAATATTGAAAAGTAAAGGGGCAAAGATTATTTTTAGTAAGGATTAAGAAATAAAGGAGAGTAGATATAGGCTTGGTGCATTTCAGTTGATTTCAACAAATTCCGACCGTAGTACTTCAACGGAAAAAATCTGAAATTATCAATATCTAGTTCACGCCATAGCCGCCGTCATGTTGATCGTATTAAAATAATATTGAAATCGTGGCTTTCTCATAATATTTAAGTAAGTATTTTAGTTTTTTGCTAGTGCAGTTATTGAGACTAGAAAACACTTAGGTACGAAGTTTGTGTAATGTAACGCTGTTTCGGGTAGTAAAAATAAGTGAAAAAGAATTCGAACTAGGCATCGTGTTGTGGTTGTGACAATTTCAAATGTTAATAAAATTGCAAAAAAAAATGTTAACGCGTAAAGGAGAGGGTAATTAGAGCGTTGTTTGGAGCAAAAACATTCAATAACTCAACTTTCCCGGATATTCAACTCTCCTGAAACAACATTTTATAGCTTCACAGTTTCTCACACCGATTTGATCAAAAGCAAAAATGGATTCAAGCAGTTCGACGAAGCAAGTGAGTAAACAAAGTGCTCGTATCATAATCAAAGAATTAAATAGACATATGATAAAATATAATTTGCAATATTAATGGTATACTTTTTTTTAATTGACTAGTGATTAAATGTTTTATGAACATCTTATAAAATTATAATTATGTACCTTTAAAATTTTTGTTATTGCCCAATTATGCCCCACCAGCAAAACCGGTGATTAAAACTATGCTCGCTAGCGTAGTATTATAAATTATAATATAATTAAGTTAGACCTTCCGAAGATAAAATATTTACTTTTTTATTTTTATTTTTAGAATTTTCACAAATTATACTTCCTAACACTTTTAGAATAATTATATAATACATTTTTCGTATACTGGCTATTTAAACCCGTGTATTTGTATACTATACTAGTTGTTTACAATATTCTCCGATGGTGGCAGCACCGCACACCGGCGGAAATTGCACCAATCCTATAGCATCAGAGTGTTTAACATTTCGAGGATTATTTTAATGTTTGCTATGATAGTAATCGGCATAACATGCGTCATTTTAATTATTATGGGGTATGGCTAAAATAATTCTACATTCGCGGTTTTTTTTTGATAACACAATATTATTTTTTAGCATTTGTCACAAGTTTTTTGGCACACACTGTATAATATTAATAATTATAGGAAAGAGGGAAAATAAAATCCCCAAAACTAAAAAATATATAAAAAACAAAGACAAAATAAACTGGATTAAAATTACTCACCGCCGCAATTTCCAATTGTACATCTTGGCTTTTCACATTTCCTGTCTAAAACGTCAACTCACATTAATTTAATAATACAATTTACGCGTTCAGTCTTTGTAACGAATTTACATAAAATCGTAAATGAATTATCTGTTACACACAACTATTAAACATTTTCTATAATTAAAAAAATAGTAATATTTTACCTTGATCAAATCGTTTAAACGATCCCTAACCATAACGCTAAGTTTATTAAAAACATTTATAAGATATCGATGTGTAATCTTATCTGTTGTATGTTTAACAACTCAAATAATAGGCGTACATATCTAAACCCCGGGTTTACCACTAAATCTGAATTATTTCTTAAATATTTTAAGGTGATATGGCTTGAACTTAACATTAGATACTAAATGAACAAAATAATTGTTATAAACAACGAATCGTTACTGAAATTGTGTGTATGTAAACTACAATATTTATTTTTAGTCACCTAGTTGCGCTGGTATAAATTAGCACGCGTAGGTCGTGTTTTGTGAGTCATCTAACTTTGTAGATAAATATTAATTAAAATATTTATACAGAAAGAAAATCATGCAGCTCCTCCCTCACATTTGATTTAATATTTCAGCTGGGCTGTTCCCTTCGATCTGAAACTCAAATATATTATAAGACTATATTGCTTGTACCGCATTTCATATACAGGGTGTCCCAGAGATAAGTGCAAGTATTTTAAGGGGTGGTAGACCTGGTCAAAAGAAACATTTTTAATCTTTACCGTTTTTCAAATAAGTCCAAAATAACCGAGTTATTTTATTTTGAAAATTTCCAAAAAAAAATATTTTTTGCTAAAATTTTGAGAACCGCTGGATCTTTTCTGGATTTTCTTTGTAATGTAAATTTAAGCTACTACCTATGTTAAATAAAACTAAAAAAATTTCCAAAATTTTTTTACTTTTATTTTTTAAAAAATTTTGAGAACTGCTGGATCTTTTCTGGATTTTCTTTCATGTAAATTTAAGCTACTACTTATGTTAAATAAAACTAAAAAATTTCCAAAATTTTTTTACTTTTATTATTTAAAAATTTTTGAGAACTGCTGGATCTTTTCTGGATTTTCTTTCATGTAAATTTAAGCTACTACCACAGAATATCTAGCTACGCAGCAGAAGCCTCGTTACATGTATAAAATTGTAGGTAGCAAAAGGAGACAGGCTTTAAAAGTCTGTCTCCAAATCAGATATTTTGATGTGGTAGTTTCGCTACTACATAATAGAGGGCAATAAATTTAAAAGAAAACAGTTTTCTACAAACAAAATTTAAAAGAATTTTGTGCAGTGTTGCCATTGTGTAATTCATATCGTAATACTTCCTGATAAAGCCTACCTTCAAATTTGCTACATCATTTAAACATATTAAAATAGATCAGAGCTGTTTTTTCAGTTTGCCATGTTAGCTGGAATTAAATCTTATGAGCTAAATTACAATCACTTCCTGACGTTTGATTGTATAATTGAATCCTGAATTTTCATTGTAATTCGGCGACAATATAATAAGTATTGTTCTACTATTATGATACCACTTCCTGACGTTCGATTGTGTTCATACCAAGTTCATATTGTATAATCGGGAAAAAACGGCGTTAGCGATAGCTATGAAATGAATATCACTGTCATTTTATATGTAAATTTATATGGGAAATGTCATCGGTCGTCCTTTTCCAGCCAACTGGACGCCGTTTTTTTCAGAAGCATATCAAGTGATATATATAATATAGTATTATATTACGATACATGGCGTTCGATTGGGCTTAAACTTGGTATACTATATCTTCAGTGACATTGTAATATCATGGTACCATGGACTATATAAAGTGGTACCTTCTATAGTACCATATTTGATGACATAGCAATATTAGGTACATGGCGGCAATAGGGCTTAAACTTGGTATACTACGTATTTTCGGTGACATTGTAATATGATGCATATCATCTGGTACCATAATATAGTACCATATTATGTACATGGCGTTCGATTGGGCTTAAATTTGGGATACTACGTATCTTCGGTGATATTGTAATATTCTGGTACAATGGAGCATAATAAGAGGTACCATAATATAGTACCATATTACGATACCATTTCCTGGCGTTCGACTGGACTTAAATTTGTTATACTACGTATCTTCGGTTACATTGTAATATGATGGTACTATGATGCATATAAAGTGGTACCTTAATATAGTACCATATTTCAATACCATTTCCTGGCGTTCGATTGAGCTCATATTTGATATTTACTTGCGTATTTTTCATGACATTGCTTTATTAAGGTACCGTGAAGCATATCAACTGGTACCATAATATAGTACTATATTACGTACATGGCGTTCGATTGGGCTTAAACTTGGTATACTACGTATCTTCGGTTACATTGTAATATGATTGAACTATGATGTATATAAAGTGGTACCTTAATATAGTACCATATTACGATACCATTTCACGGCGTTCGATTGTCCTTAAATTTGGTATACTACGGATCTTCGGTGACATTGCAATATTATGGTACCTTAAAGTACATCGAGTGGTACCATAATATAGTACACTATTATGATATCATTTCCTGGAGTTCGATTGGGCACAAATTTGGTATACTTGCGTTTCTTTATAAAGATTTGTTTAATTAATAATTTTAATTTATTTTACGAATTTTAATTTATTGTTCGATGTCGTGATAGCAACTTTTATGCCGAACTAATATATTATTAATTGTACCTGTGTCACTTTTTAAAATCTACCTAGGTCTATATAAATAACGTGGCAAACGGAATAAATTTGTTATTATAGTATTTTTTAGTCAGTTAACATTTTTTCTACTGCATTTTAATAAATTATTTCCATTATTATTAAACTTATATTTCATTACTAACGTTCCAGCATTAATAAATATCACTATCAATCGCCCTGTATATTATTAATTTTAAAGGTAATTAAAGGTATTTTCTTAGTTAACATTATAAGGGAGTGTATATTAAAAATGTATATGTTTTGTAATAATATACTTAAAACTATTTTAATAGCCGAAGGAATAATTAATATAAGTGTATCTGACAAGAAAAGAAGAAGAATAGAAGAAACACATACTGCATTATACACAATAAAAAGAATGGGATGCCAATTCAAGTCTTTTTGAATCTGGCAACTGTGCATATTTAGCCGAGCTATAAGGCCGTCGACGATCCGTCGATCCAAAACCGAAAGTTCAAAATTTCTAATTATATTCTGATTATGATATTGTCGCGCCATCTAGTATTCTATTTGTGCAATTTTAGCTCCTTCATTTCGAGTATTTTTCTGTTGCGTAGCTAGATATTCTGTGCTACTACCTATGTTAAATAAAACTAAAAAAATTTCCAAAATTTTTTTACTTTTATTATTTAAAAAAATTTGAGAACTGCTGGATCTTTTCTGGATTTTCTTTCGTGTAAATTTAAGCTACTACCTATGTTAAATAAAACTAAAAAAATTTCCAAAATTTTTTTACTTTTATTATTTAAAAAATTTTGAGAACTGCTGGATCTTTTCTGGATTTTCTTTCATGTAAATTTAAGCTACTACGTATATTAATTAAAACTAAAAAAATTTCCAAATTTTTTTTACTTTTATTATTTAAAAAATTTTGAGAACTGCTGGATCTTTTCTGGATTTTCTTTCATGTAAATTTAAGCTACTACCTATGTTGCCATATTACCAAGAAATATATTATCAAGAAAATAAAACTAAAAAAATTTCCAAATTTTTTTTCAAAAAATTTAAAATTTTCAAAAATTTTTTTTCGCTAAAAATACCTCATAGGCGTGTTTCTGAGGCCGAAATATACTACCAGTTAAAATACTTGCACTTATTTCTGGGACACCCTGTATATATTACACTATATCGCTAGTCAGGACTAGAAATTGAAGCCAAATTTTTGACATGGAGCTATACAAAATCCACATAAGTCGGTCCTTTTCGTTCAACAGCTTTGAAATACACAAGCGTGAGAAGTGCTTCTCGATTAGTTGATTTATTTTATACTAACCAATAGAAGTAATTTTCCAAGTTTCTATCAACCACGTACGTAAATCAATTTGGCGTCTGACTATTCGCGCCTATAAATTTAAATTTTATCTCTGACATATTTAAACAAAAACAAGAAACGGATAGATATTATGAATATCTAAAATAACAGGTTGGAATAATATCATTACCAATAAAAAATAATATATTATATGTTATTAATATTTAGAGTTTAAAATAGTGCGCGGGCAGGTGACAGCGTTCAGCGATGAAGTAGACGAATCAGATCATTTTATTTGGAGCGTGCGCATGAAAGTCCTGTTGAACGAAAAGGATAGACTTATGCAAGATTGATATTCATATTTCTTTTCTTTGGCTTCACTTTCCACTCATCGTGTAAATGCGGTACTAGCAATATATTCTTCTAATATATTTGCCGCATTTAAACAATGAGTGGAAAGTGGAAAGTGAAGCCAAACAACATATAGGAATATCAACCTTGCATAAGTCTATCCTTTTGGTTCAACAGGATTTGTGTGCGCACGCGCCAAGTAAAACGATCTGATTCGTCTACTTCATCGCTGAACGCTGTTACCTGCCATTACATCACACAAACCTCGTACCTGAAAGTTTTATAGCCTCAGTAACTGCACTAGCAAAAAACTAAAATACTTAAATATTATGACAAAGCCACGATTTCAATATTATTTTAATGCGATCAAGATGAACTGTAATCGGGACGGCCGGCGCGGCGCGGCGGCGTGAAATACATACTGATAACTTCTGATTTCCGCCGTCGAAGCGCTGCGGTCGGAATTTGTTGAAGCCAACTGAAATGCACCAAGCCTATAAGAATATGACTAGAATTTGACAATGACAAAATCATATTTTAGATGGTATTCTATTTGTAGGTTTCTCTGGGCCGTATTATAAAAGTTTAATAATTTGAAGGTAGATTTTCGCAAATAACATTTAAATGCCGATTTCAAATGAAACGAAATTCTAGACAAAAGTACAATCTTCTGGTGCACCACACGGTATACTTACTATATCACACAATAAAATACTACTGTATTCTTATGGACATAAGAATAAATACGGATAAAAAACAACTCGAAAAATTATTTTGCGAGGCCCTGGCGCCTAGCGCCGCCACTGGTCCCAATTATACAATAAATTTTGCAATTCTATTAAAATTTCGTTTAGTATAATTAGAATTTCGCAAATAATTATTAGTCATTTTTGAACGATTACGGAGAAAGTGTAGTTTTAATATTATAATAATAGTCCACTGTCAAGGTCGTCAAACTAAGGAATAAAAGGTAAATAAGACTTTCTCGAACCATAGCAGGTGTTGAATGAAATTTTCTTTTGGCTCATTATAGTATACTATTAACATGAATTGTTTTTTTCTTCTCTTTTTCATTCTCTAAGCGAGCTGCGAGGGTGTGGCAAGAGAA